TAAGTAGACATTTCAGTGTAAATCCAATCAGTCAAATGGAAATTCGCTTAGTCTGCAGGTTTGCTGCGGCGGGGGTATTTCTAAACCACGTTAGCTAATCAATAAATAAACGTACGTAATCCTACTGAATTAACAAAACCCACAAGGCAGTCTGCAGGTACTGTAACCTTTTATTGAAAACATACTCCCTTAGTAGATTTCTCATCCATGGATCAGCTGATGACAAATTTTATCGTTGGTTCCGTCCAGCGCACTGTAAAAGAGGTAGTGTTTTGTTAACAATTTGTTATTTTTAATTTAATCCCTTGTTTAACCAAATAAAACTATCAAATCATAAAATATAATTCGTTCCCTATATATATATACAAATAGTAAAGCACAAACCATGAAACTGACCCTAAAATAAAAGAAACCAAATTTCGTCGACACTGGCGATTAATGTAGTGTCCCCAACACAAACCAGACACGAAAAACGAGCTTAAAAATATTTACAATGGGATGAGAAGTCTATTGTATTGGTAGTATCATAGACTAACCAACACAAGTAGTCTCCACATCCCATTATACTGTTGCGGGCTTGACAGGTTCTTTACAATAAAAACTTGGTGATTTTATAATAGCTATTTATGAACACCAATTATTCTCTATTTACAGTTAATTACAATTACCTAACACCTAAAACCCTACCTAAACCTAGCTAAAGCCGAGATTATTCTGATTTACAATGCTCTATTGTCTATCACTGGTGAGTTCGGAGAATTCCGTTTTGACAAACAATCCTTTGAGACGGCGGGCGCCTGGCTATTGTTGCTGCGCGGGGCTCCTGACTTGTAACAATACATTTTGAACTTGTTTTGTGTGTAGTTCATGTCCGGTGACACTGATCACGTAGTGTCGACGACATTCTGGAGCTATTATTTTATGATAATTTTATGAGTTGTGCTTTTCTGTTTGTTTATAAAACAATAGGACTAGTTATTGTTTATGATTAGATCGTTTTATTTGGTTAAACGAGGTTTTTAATGACTGCAATAAGAATAAACCAATCGTAAACAAAACACGACCTCTACAGTGCACCGGGCAGAACTAACTATAAAATTGTCTTCAGCCGATCCATAACGATGAGAAATACCGGGTGTCCAAAACCACCCGTACACCCTTTTCAAAACGTTAGAAACATTTTCTTACAAACAAAAAATTAGTTCATATTTAAAGAGAATTAAAGAATTTAGTCAGCTGTTACAACTAACGAAGGGGTTAGTTTGTGAACAGAGCGCCTCATACAGTTTTAAACAGTTTGTGAAAATGTTAATGCAATTTGTAAGAAGAAGAACACAATTATGAGAACTACCGTAACCGGATTTCGGGACTAAATTAGCACAGACCTGGCTAACACCCGTTTATACTCAATGTTGTGCCGTTGACTGTGAATCCGTCAACGGTTGTACATAGGTTGGATCACAGACAAGGGAAACAAAGTTTTGTTTCCTTAGTCAATGGTTGGATGCATTGAGATAATACTCTCTGGTTGAACATTAGAGAAAAACGTGCCACTGTTTTTGCTGGTGTTTCGTGTTGTTAGGTTGGCCGTGTGGTCGGTTTGTGGGATGCTGTCAAATTCAATTCATTCTAAAAAACCTAACCACGCCATTTATTTGGGGCTATCCGTTATTTGATGGACTTCAACTTATTTAGGCTATTTAACGTTAAAACCTGTGTATTTAAAGTTATTTTGAAACAGTATCAATTGTTTTTTATACTAAATACTAACTTATTTTCGAGCTATGATTAATGGTCAAAATAGTCAAGTTTCATGGTAATTATTTTTATTACGCCTAGCGTAATTATTTTTGTCAATGCCCTGTTTTTGCCCAATTTTTGTCAACACGCCCACCGCCTACTTAACTGAAATTGAACCATCGCTGTTGTATTTATGATCTTGTTAAAACGGGTTGTTCGTAAAGTAAATAAATTAACTTATATTCTAATCATAATGATGACACATTTTTGTTTACTATCAACCTGTTCTGTGACAAAATTTCTCACATGATGTGCCACGAAAATCTTCACATCTTGAACCTGCACGAGTATAAACTAGGCCTACCACCTGACGCACGATTTTCACCAGTATTTATTCACTTGTCTCTGGTGTAGGGCCTATGCGAAATTTTTAGAACTGAATAGTTATGTTTGTTCCTGTAGGCCTATCCATCCATGTTCATTCATATGTATTGTACAATAATTTTACATTGTATGCTTTGGCTTTGATCTCACTCATGCACTTCATACTTTGTTGCCATCTAACTTTATATTTATTATTTGTAAATATTTATATTGTTACTATTAATTTGTTACTGTTCACTATTTGTTACAACTATTTACTATTTATTTCTGTTATTTCAAGTTGCGAATGTATTTTCATTAAGAGGCTATGCCGTTGGGAAATAATAAATAAACAAAACAATAGAATGACGCCTCTAATTTGAAAAGTCCCACCAACCGATCACACGGCCAACCTAAAACACGAAACTCTAAAAAAACTAATAGGCTACCCCCGCCGCAGCAAACCTGCAGACTAAGCGAATTTCAACTTGTCTGATTACATTTTTACTAACATATTTCCATAAATAAGACATATTTATTCCCAATTTAAATAACATTAGGCTAGATTTAACAAGTGCTTAGGTTTGCTGCTACGGAGAAGGTAAAACGTGTTTTTTGACCATAAGTCAATAGTATAGGATAAAATAAATAAATGCCAAATTGTATCAATATATATCCATAAACAAGTAAACTACAACAGTTTTCATTTTCTCCATAAGAATAACATGGGAATTTTAAATTACACTATTTTTTTTTTTAGTTTTCTCCGTGACCATTAGGCATAGGCCTACAACAGTGCTTCAATATACTGAATTATTTTTTTTAAGCTCTACAAAACGGTTTAAAACGAAATTGCATTTTTTTTCGTTTAAGGGCCAAAAATGGGAAAACCTCATTTTTACCCCATAAAACGCCCCATAAACCCCCGTTCCCATGGTCCGATTATGCTAGTTCGCGAACTCGTTCTAATAAACGTAGGTTGGAATTTCCAAATTCCAAATCCATAAACGTAGGTTTACACGTTTGTACCAAATTTCATCAAAATCGGATCATTTTTGCTCGAGTCATCGCTAACAGACATAAATACATAGGCTATATGAATTTGAACGGATTGTGTTTTTCGCCCCTAGGGACTTCAAAACGAAAAATTAAATCGGTCCCAGGTCCAGGTCTTACCATGAATACTACGGCAATTGCTTATTCGCTATATGGCAAATTCGCTAAAAAAAACAGTGGTACGTTTTTTAAACACAGAGTGGAGACTCCAGTTATTATTACAGTAGCTCAGTGGTTGGATGAGCTAGCGTTAAAGTTGGGATGGGCCCCTAATTCAATGAACTTTTCAATGAAATGGTTTTAATCAGATCAGACACAAACTTTTACGAAACCAACAGAGAACTAACGATTTTTACATTACTTTTATCATTATCATTTGAGATTGGGACGACACCTAATGTGCGTATTTGATCCCATGAGTGAAAAAGGGTAAATAGAATATGACGTCTATACCTTTTGTGTCTATGTAACTAACTATAAAACTGTCTAAAAATGCTATGATAAACTCGTTCAGACCGAACTATTATGTGTCTAAACTTGTTTAGAATATGGGACGACTAGCCGACTAGCGTAATGTTACACTTTTTCACAAGTAGGCCTAAGTACCTACAGGCCTACCTGGAATGATCGAGTAGGTACTAATACAGTACGTGGATTTGTGAATAGAATAAAAAAACCTTTGATAGGTTACTTAACTTACAGTCTGAAATTGTACCTAATACAATTAATTCAATATTCAACTTACTTTAGTGCGAAGATTGGAATATTTGCTTTAATGTTACGATGAAATAGATGTTTCTAACCACCATATTTATCAACTAAAGACCGCTAATTAATCAAATTTTCAATCCACTGCTTGGTGTAGTTTTATTACTCCTTCCGGTGTTCCTTGGCCATCCTCCTGTCTCTCTCGTTTGAAACGTATTCATTATTGAAGTGGTTGAAACCAAAAAAAGCCAGCATTTGATTGGCTGCTGTAGTAATAATAGAGATCGATGGTCAAAATAAAACCAAATGACATGGCATTGGCAGATCGGAACATCAGAGTTTGAACAGCTGTTGGTAAACTTCATCAGTGTTGCCAATGCCCGGGGAGGGAATTCCCCGGATCCGGGAATTTCTAATGTTTGGTAATAGTTATTTTCGCCCATCTTCGAAAATCTTTGAATTGAAATGTTGTTAGTTTTGCGTTTAGGCTTCGTATCATTGGTAGGTTTCGGGTTTCGTACCATAGGCCTCGGGTTCGATACGAGCGGCGAGACTGGCGGGAGGCAACCTGATAAGCGGTGGTGATGGTGGCTACGGAACGATTCAAGCGGCACATTTAACTTAACGCTCATCAAATTTCCTGGGTTATAGGTAGGAGTCAGTTTAGTCGAAAATGGTAAACTGTGCTTACCTGCAAGACGTATAGCAACTATCGTTACTATCTGACATTGTTCTCCTTTAAAAAATCTTAGGTTTTAGAAACACTTGGCCCTACTTTCGTCTTATAATTTTCTGGTGAGCGACGTTGAGCGACATGCCGGCATCGCTTACCGCCGCTCACTAGTCACTGCTCAGACGTACGTACCGAACCGACTACCGACGTATCGTGGCCACTGGCCACCCTCAACAAATTTTCACGCAATTAAATGAGACCCGATGTCTGAGCGGCAAGAGGATTCCTGGGGAATTTCTGAAAATTGCTGGTTAATTTTTTTATGTCATTGGTCTGGTACTCTGGTAACACTGAGAGTGAGAGCCAGGAAGAGGAAATCGTCTCGTCCGCGTCCGTAACGTAATAGAAAAAAACCATAGTAGCACTAAGCAGCAGAGAGAGAAAAAAAAGGAATGCAATGTTTGTAATGTTAATGTAATTACCGGTATTTTATTAGTCATCATCTAAAGTCATCCATCGTTCACCCTATTGCATTGTTTTATTTGATTGTTTAGTAACTTTTAAGTATCGGTATTGCCGTTGGCCGTTGTTAGTGAAAACGATTCTTAGTTAATTTAAAAGGTTTAAACCATAAAATTCACCGTTTCCGTGCCTGCTGTAAGTAGACTATCTGTGTTTCTGCATGCATAGGGTTAGTTAGGCCTAAAACATGTAGCATCATAGTGTTGTCATTGATAGGCCTACTGTATCTTATAGAATATTTAAAAGCCCTAGCATGAAATTAATTCCAGATAGCCTAAATTGAAAAAAAATTGAAGTCTTTTAGCTAGAGTTAAGTTAGGCCTAGGCCTAAAGAAAACTTATTGTTAAGGCCTATTTAAAGTTGGCTTAGTCCTTATAAGATTCATGTTTTTTCATGTTTAACTTACTTACACCAGTGGCATCTTTAATGTAGGCCTAAGCAGGAAGTTACTAACTTAGGCCAACTTAATCACCTGAACGCTAAGGCTACTAGGCCTACGTAAAACTATTTTTGGATACCTAAGGCCCCGTTTGTGCACCAAGAGCGGGAGCGGTACCGACAGCGGGAGCGATTTCTAACACCATTGAGTTAAATGGAGCTGTTTATGCACCAAGAGCGATAGCGGTTGACCTCCCGCTGCGGTTTCTAATTCGCCCGCTGTGTAGTTAGAAATTGCAGCGGTTGCTTGGGATAGAGCGGTTTTCAACTACATTGAGTCAAATTGGACTGTTTGTGCACGGCGGGAGCGGGAGCGGCTGAAGCCAGGGTTGCCAACTTGACCCACACGCACGTGCACTTAGGACAAATAGTTGTGTTAATTATTTGGCAGAGTTCGAGTTGGCAAGACTGTGTCCCCCTTCCATTCTCCTTTAACCAACCGCTACCGCTATCGCTCTTCGTGCATAAACAGCCCCATTCACAGCAGGAGCGGGCCCCGCTATCGCCCCGCTATCTTACTTTAATGTGTAGCTAGTAGTATGGTCTCAGAATGGAATGCATGAGGAATAACTTAGAATCCACAGCATAAGTTAGGCCCCGTTTATGCACCAAGAGCGGGAGCGGGGCAATAGCGGGCCCGCTCCCGCTCTTGGTGCATAAACGGGGCCTAACTTATGCTGTGGATTCTAAGTTATTCCTCATGCAGTCCATTCTGAGACCATACTACTAGCTACACATTAAAGTAAGATAGGCCTAGGCTAGGCTTTGTACCGTAGGCCTAGCTTAAATCAATCAATTATTTTTTTTTTAAAGTAGGTAGCCTACATAGACAATTCCTAGGCATACGATTCTAATAAGTTAATGTAGGCCTAAATGATAAAATGCCTTTTAACTTGCACATTTTTGTAAGGCGCTAAATCCATCAAAAGTTTCGGAATTAAGTTATACGTAACTACTTTATAAAGGTGCAGAGCACATTGCACATCAAGGAACAAGAAGTGATATGGATCCTACTTCAGTTGAAACTGAAACAAAACAATGAGTACTTAAAAATGAATGGGTAAGTTAGGCCTAACTTAAGTTACAAATGGAACATTCATTAACTTATACTCGATGATTTCTTTTCGATATATCAATATTTTATTTATTATCCTATAGCCTATATTTATATTAACAAATTGAGACATATCAGCTGAGCTGACAACTAGAACTAGCCTACGATGAGAATAAATAAATATTGTTCAGTATCAACAAACAATTTAAAATAGGCTAATATAATTAAGTTATTGAAATGAAACTTTTAACACGTTCGCCGCGGCATGGGAGCGATCGCTCCCAAGCTGCAATGCAGTACGAAATGATTTATTTTCAAGCCAGGATTAGAGCTAGAAACTTGAAACCTCGCACAGCACTGCTCATAGTATACTGTATTTTGTTGTAGTACAGGTTGGTAGTAAATTTCCCCGTAAAATCCCCGTCTGGCAATCTCAAAAATATACTTTTTGCCCGTCTTTTTCCCTCCATTAGGCAATACAAATCCAATGGGACCGGCTACGTTCCAAGCAGTGCTAATATCTGTGGGTGTTTAGCAAACTACGTCGACTCTCGTTGTAAAGCAGGACATCCTCGCACATTATTTGCTATTCGTCAGACCGAAATTGGAAACGCAGCAATCGGGTTTGTTTGACACTGAGGGCTGCGCCGCACTGGGGATACGCCCGCCATTTGACGTGCCGCCGCGAACGTGTTAAGCTAACCTAAACAACTAAACTTGATGTAACATTTCAAAATTCCGTTTGATAGCCTATTCCCCATATGCCTTGTTATCACACGGAATTTTGGAACGGTAACTTAACTTAGCCTAACTTACAACAAGTTTGGTTAGGTTAGTTTAGAAGAGTTTCATTTCTCATTCCAATTATTATATAGGTAGGCCTAAGTTAGGTAGGCTATTATTTTTGCCTAAACAAGGTTAGTTCTTAACTTGTAATTCAAATGCGTTTAAAGATATTAAAAAAGAATGAATATGGATCGTAAAAAGGAAAACAAAATTATCGATATAGGCTATCAATAAGAAATCATCGATAATAATAAATGTTCCCTCCAACAGGGAAGTACCAATGAATGATCTTATTTAGGCATTTGGGGAAGCCAGGTCGGGGTTTATGGGGGTTCGGGGCTGCATTAAAAGTGTTTTTAAGTTAAGTTAGATTAAGAAGATAAAGTGTAGGTCATAGGCAATCGGGTTTATTGATGACCCCATGGATACCCATGGATGTTGTTTTTTATCTTTTGGAATACAGTTAGTAGGGTAGTTGATTTAATGATAAGACAATTTCAAAAATGCTTGCATTAAGTCATAAGTTATGGGCCTGGCTTCCCCATAGCTTAAGTTTATGCCTTTTCTCTTTTGTAACAGATTCATGAAATCATAAGTTACAGCCAGTTTGGTTAGGTTTTGTTAGATTAGAACAGTTTCACTTTTTAAATCAAAACATTAACATAAACAATAATAAATTGATGATCAGCTGATAAAACTAACCATTCTCTAGGAGCCCAAGCAAGAGTAAGTAGTCACCGGTCCGTATCACTCCGCTCCTTGTTCCTTTTTCGTGCGATTTTCTCCGCACCTTGAGAAAGTAGTTCCGTATATTTTTGCAATTTGCAGTGGTTTTCGCGCCTTAAACATTGTTTTATAGGGTATTTTATTGTTTATTAGAATCACAAGAACGATTTAGGTAGGTTCATAAACTTAAGGAAAGTCCAGAAAGTTCAGATTTACCCAAACGCTTTTGAGGAAAAGCGGTCCAAATCCATTCAGGTTTCGTGTACATGCGCCAGGAGTTGATGTCCCTCCCGCACAGAAGTTTGAGATGTTAACCATTTAAGTTAGGCTAGCAAAACACCCATATCCATACAAAGATCATGCCTGGTTAGCAGGATGATTGCCTGGGGTTTGGGATGACTTCAGTTAGGCCTACTTAACCCTAGGAAGGTATCGTCATACAGTAAGTTAAGTCATGACACTAAAGGTATCAATACGTACATTTGACGTACCGGTAGGCCTACTGTACATAAGAATTGCATACAGTAAGGTATCGTCACACAGTGCTAAGTTAAGGGTATGAATACGTAAATTTGATGAAATGCCGGCCATTTTATACTATACCACTACACACAAAGGGAATTGACACGTTTGTTTGACGTATGCGTTTCAAGAAACCAACTAGCAAGGACATAAAGAAACACTAAAACCCAACCAAGGCAGCCATCACAAGGCAAATGACTTCTGAGAGCACTGCTGGAAGGAGGGTAGCTTCGGTTAAAGGAGTGGAGATGCTAAAAATAGTTCGCCCTATGCTATGTCAAATTTAAACATTATTGCCACCAGGACTGATGTAGAATGATATGATAGGTTACGTACCTTTTTTATTCCGTCGTCAGTCCTAAAATAGTCAAAGGGTGACTAGTTTCGGGTCAGAAATGACCCATTTTCAAACCCATTTTCATCAAATTGATTGGTCCAAAATCCGACAGAAGTCTTCGTTATGAGGTATAAACACATGTCGACACATAAAGTTAACACATTTACAACATTTAAATGTGCTTTGTGTCGTAAATGTGTGAACTTTATGTGTCGACATGTGTTTGTACCTCATAACGAAGACTTCTGTCGGATTTTGGACCAATCAATTTGATGAAAATGGGTTTGGAAATGGGTCATTTCTGACCCGAAACTAGTCACCCTTTGACTATTTTAGGACTGACGACGGAATAAAAAAGGTACGTAACCTATCATATCATTATGTCAAATTTACGTGCGACACCTATCTAGGGTTAACTTAGGCTAGTCAAATATTAGCCTATAAAATAAAAGTTTTAACTTTCACATAACTTAAACAAAAACTTAAAATAGTGTAGGGCCTATGTTAGGTAGTCAAAGTCAATATCCTAAGTCATATAGTAAGTGGATATTGACAACAGTTAAAAAAGATAACTTTAGTGAGAGGATTTAGCTGCTTGTTGTTACCAATAGCCAAGTTGCTTTTGTGGTTAATGTATGAGTGGTGGCTGGATATTATTGCAAGACTTATGACTGGGTAGTCAAGTAAACTTGTGGTTAAGACTGTAAAACACTGCTGCTATTAAAAATATGAAGGTCACTGGTCCGAATCCAAGTGGGAGAGTTAAGAGTCTTTATCACCCTAGGTGTAGTACCGTTTTGGGGGGATAGCCTTGGGGGGAAGGTGGTGTTGACAGGCGTGTAGTGCGGGGTCATTATGTGCGCCTTTCTGAAAACATCGTGTAAACAAACTACTACTAAAGACGCGACTCCGCACCTACGCAAGCGCAGCGGCAAACTTATCTACCCTTGGACATCGAGCAGTACGAGCATAGAACATATCGATCTTACATCACTGGCTGTGAGGAGCCCTTGTGGCGAGCGCAACTAATTAAATGTTTGTTAATATCAATAATATAAGTAACATTATGCCTTGGCATTATGGATATTTCCATAAATAGGCTACAATGACCTTCAAAACTAGCTTTTACGTTTTTTTATATCGTTTGCCTTTGTTTAGAAAAATACAATTAACTTAATTAACAACAAAAACCTTTTAAACGAATCAAAAATTCTAAAAACATACAAATCTATATATTAATTACGTAAGCCGATTCTTTGCGTCAGAATTATGGGCGACTGGGAAGTCGTAGAATGACGGGATAGGGCTCAAATTAAAAGTCTCGACCCCGTGACGGCGAGAAAAATAGTGAAGTTCCCCAAATTTAAACACAAAATTTGATAAAATGTTCCCCATAAGAAAAGAATTAGAAGCCATTTACCCTACTGCTGATTTTTATTTACTTCATTACAGCTGATCTTGATTTATCATTAAGCCAGTAAGCAATATTACATTTGGAATACTCATTTGTCAGTCAATTCTGCAATAAACTGTATACTATACAAAACCAGGGATAACGTTACCTATAATAATTCTATTTCAGACTTTTGGTTACGCCTTAGAAAGTTGAAAACAATTGTTTTACTGTGCGATTTGCCAACTTGTGTAGGTATGTTAAAGTAAGTTTGTTAAGCGTATGATAAGTCGTAGAATCATTGGATAAATTTTAAGCAGGTTGCTCCAAGCAAAAAAGTTTTAAATAATATAGCAAGAGCAAAGCAAGCACGGCAATAAAGGGAGCATCCATATATAACGGTAAAACCAAGAGGCATTTTCCGTTTCTTAAAAATATACAAAAATATGGATGTCAAAGATGCTGATGAAAACTAATTTCGTGATTGGTTTCGATAACTGGGCAATAGAAACATAAGCAGTCGCAAAATGATTAGTAATCAGGCTTTGATTAGGCCCTTTTTTGATGGAATATGAAATGTCAATCGCACCTTTAGGAGGAATACCACCGCATACACTTACACAATTTTACACCAGGCTAATAATAGTTTTTACCTAACCCGTCATGTTAAAATTCCCTATCCCAAGCGTGATGTATACAACTTCCTCACTTCACGAGTGATGTAAAGTTGAAAAAAACTCATTCGGTGGGGTAATGAAACCCATTTAAATAACATTGAGTGGATAACTTTGAAAATATACCTCTATGGAGCCAACGACATTCAACGCTAGAAATCAGCTGTGTGCTTGAATTTTATTGTTATGCTTTGAAGAATTTTCCTAACCTAGCTTTTGTTTGTAATGAACGTTACTGTTAGAAGATGAGTGAAATGGATAATGAAGCATATTGCTCGTAACCTCCTGTATATTGTCGGGTCAGGTAAAATCTTGTACGTTACACGTTACGCAAGAGCGTGTTTACATCACTTCGGTGAATTATGCAATTCGCTTTCGCTCGTTGCACAACATTCACCTGCGTGATGTAAGAACGCTCTTACTACACTTGTAATGTAAATAGCTATTAAATGTTGATCAGAAACAAATCTAGGGTTAAGTTTGGTCAATAGAATTCCTTTATTTTACACTAATTTTGCTAACCCTTTAGAAAAGGAGTATAAATTTATAAATAATAACTGGGTCAGGGCGCTAATTTAGCGATTTTGACCAACAGCTAAGCTTATCTCAACACACCTTTATTTGCCTTCTCATATTTGATGAAAACAAATATTTCAATCCGGGAAGTCTTTTCATCACTAAGCTACCTTAGTAAACCAATATTTATTCACAAACATTTTTGCTGCCTTAAGCAGGGTTAAACCTCTGGAGTCATTGCAATTATATTTACCTATTTAAAATAAAATCATGCAACAAAAGTAAACAAAGACAAACAACAAACTGTTTTTTGAACAAAAGATATGTTGTACTGGAATATATCCTGACACATAGACAATTGGATTATAAAGTTTTTTTTAAATATTAGAATAATTAGATTTACATTTGTGCTTTTTAGGGACTTATTACCCTACAAGCCACTAGTTAATTCATTATGTATGTAACCGCTGCCTAAAGCTGCGCGCGCACTACGGCGGCACGGCACGGACGGGCGGGCGGCACGGCAATTTTTAAAAGTTAATTACATTGAATGTCATATGAGTGCGCCCAACACGACGGTACGGCCGGCAACGGACGTTCGGCAGCTTCCGCCGTTTGTTAAACAGTCCGGGAGGCAGAACTCCAGGACATTTCCGAGCTGCCGTGACGCCCGTACCGACCGGGAGCACTGCACACCGACCGGGCGGGCGGCACGGGACATCCGCCATTCTCAACTGATCTCTGTCAAAGTTGCAGTGTTTTCGTGTGTTGTAAACATAGATGTTAGTAAGTTGATTTTTCTCGTTGAGAAAAACCCCAAACTCTACAACATGCGACATCCGGAATATTTTAATAACGTGCGGCGTGACAATATATGGACAGAAATATGATCTATTATGAAACAATCAGGCAAGTTTTACAAATAATCCTTCTACAAGATCAGGAAACAAGGTGTGGAACTCTCCAAAACTTAGTCTCTTCCTGTTTATGTGGTGTATCTAAAATCTTTGCTTGCACCTTCTTGTCACCTCTTCCTCTGCTAAAATTAAACCTACTATCTCCACTTAATCTATATCCATCTTTACTCACAATTTTTAGCTTGCAGACTGTCAACTGTCCTAAATTGCGGATGTCCCGTCCCGTCCGTCCGTGCCGTGCCGCCCTAGTGCGCGCACCCCCTCTTAAAAATGCCGTCCGTGCCGTACCGCCCATCCGTGCCGTGCCGCCGTATTGCGCGCGTAGCTTTACAACTGTTTATTATTATTTTGGCTGATTCCTCAAATTATTTCTTTACATAACCTTAAAGTTGTAGTTGTGTTGACTATCAGTGTGCATTATTATTGTGGTGAATGGTGGTAATAGGATATAGTGTGGTGAAAAATAGCGTTCATACCACGGACCGAAATGGTTTTACAGCTCTCGATCATTTTAAGTTTCGACTTCGTCTCGAACTAATATGTAGCAGTTAGTTGTTGATTAGAGTCCTGTGGACTCGCCAGGTTGCGAGGCTTGGTGACTCATCTGCCGTCTGAGCCAACTTTTGTAAAAGGCTAGTAGCGCAGTAGTCTCCCTTCGGCAGACCGGTGTTTAGGACAAAACATGTTAAGTTGTCCCCCGTTTTGGACGCTGTTTTTCAACAGATTTCGTTGAAACTTGGTAACAATGTAGTTGAATAGTTATACTAAGGCCCTTATACCTCAAAAAATTGAAAATGAAATAAAAACATAGTTTTATTAATGTTTAAAACTAACTAAATTTACGTTAATTTTAAGATTTTTTTGGTACTTTTACAAATTATTATTTTGAATATATCAGGTATGAGGGCTCTAGAACCAACCTTTATCTGTAGGGAAAAAAAAATTTTGAATTTTCTCCGTAACCAATTACCGTACAAAAACACTTGATCGTAGGCTACCGGTATATTAAATTATTTGTTTTTTTTTTAAGCTCTAGGCCTACCTAATGGTCTAGAGATAAACTGGGAAATTTTTTTTGAGTCACAGCAACTGATGTGCGTAAAGTTGGTGATTCTGGTCGAGACTCTAGCAGATTCAAATAAAAAGTTTTTTTTGCTCAGTGAGAGTTTTGTGCTAGTAAGACTTAACCCTTCCCGAGCGTTGGACGTATATATACGCAACTCAATCTGAAGGTCACAAGCGTACGACGCATATATAGGCTACGTCAAAACATGTTCATGGACCATTTATGTATTTCAAATTTGAATATTTGGCCCAATTAGTTGAAATTGAGACCTAGACGTTTACATTCACAACAGCAAACACTTTGAAGACGATTTAATAAAACATTAAAATACACTAATTTTGCTACAGCTCTTTAACCAATAAAGATACAAAAAAACATTAAAAGCAAAACTTGTAGCTAATTTTAAGTGCTACAATGTAGTTTGTAATGAAACCCATGTTGCTATTCAAAGATTTCAAATCTTTGAGATAACAGCTTTTGAAACTTCAATAAGTTTTAAATTGCGTAGCGTAAGTAAAAAATTAGGAAAAGGGTTGAAACCACAGGTTTTTTGAAAGCTCATTTAGCAATTAAAGTGTTATTAAGTTAACCCCCCACAAAGTTTAACAATAGTTCGCAGGTCTATTTTTGTATTTTTTTGAACACTCTGTAAATAGAGATAAAAATAATTTAAAACTTTTCCACTAAAATACTCAGGACGCAAAGATCTTTAAAATGAGATATAACACAACTCCCTTTACATTTGAAAATTTCCCAAGAACCACCCTCACCCCCCAAAATCTGTTTGGGTGCTTTTTTGGGTTTAAAAATAATTTAGCTGAATTCCATCCAGGGTCAAAATAGGGGATTCCAGTTCCAATTAGGTTTCTATTTGCTTTCATATTGGAGCTATAGAAGCCGGCCATGGTCTGAGATACCCCATATATGTACCATCAATTCATTCCTTTGGTAATTTGCTAAAAATCTATTTTTTTTACCCCAAACAAATTATTGATCGTGAAGTGAGCGGGGCCGCTCGAGATGGGTTAAACAAAAGAAGTTCAAACTTTTATGTTGTAAACTATAGGCTTAGCACCGTAATCATAAATTATAATTTAATTTAGTCATCATCAAATTAGATAAGATCATTTTTCCTAGACATAGCTGATAGATTTCATAGGGGCTTGAAAAAATATTTTCTGTTAACCAAATATTGTAGTAAACTACTGATCTAATATATTAATATAAGTATTTTTTAGGTTAGCGCAACTAAGTATCAAACCATCTTCAGTATCAAACCAAATGCGAAAGAATACAGAATGTAAATTGAAAGCACAGCCTCGAGTGTTATTACATCGATTAGAAACTGTGCTGGGGCCACATATGAATACGAACAAGTAAGTAGTGCATTGATAATTGATTGATAGGTACCTATTGGATTATTATCAAATCATTTCAAATAGCCTATCATTTTTTTACACACTCATGGTCACAGATGGGTGATAAAACTGAGAAGTTAATAAATTGTTAACAACTAATAGGCTAAATTGATAAAACTTGGTAATTTTACTCCTTTTAGATAGATAACTATAACTTAATAAGTTTTGATGACCTACCTCCAGTATTTTAATTTTAGAGCCCTTTAAAGTTGTTATCATAATCCCATCTACCTTTCTCCTGTTACTCGCATCACCTTGCAAACAAATTTATTTGTTTTTGAAGTGAGTATGTGCACACAGTGTGTATTTTGTTTTATCTCCGGTTTTTTCTCTCTTACAAATGGATGCACTTTTTATTGAGTTGGTCCCTTCTAAAAGACCAATAATATGCAATAAGAAACGTTTCTACCTACAGAGAAATAGAATTTAACAGTTTTTCCGGCTGTCTCAAAAGATCCGGAAAAATTCAGTGGTATTCTCCTGATACTTCTCTGTCAACAAAGTAATCTTTCACCCATTCTTCCCTAAATGGTTCACTATCCACTACTAAGACCTTCAAAACACTACTTTCCATTACAAAAACTTCATCATCACATGACTCCATCTTTAACATCAGCCACTGACGACTAGCCAGCTAAATGTATGCGAGTAGTTGCAAGTAATATGAACACCCCAATTTGTGTAAGCTAGCGTCACTTAAAGCTTGCACGAGCGTGCGAGCAATATGATCGTAGCCACACGCTGACCAGCAACCAAATTTTCCCTAAATTTAATCATTATTTCAGTGGAAACTGATTAATACCTGCTTTGTTGTTAGGTTATGTACGGCCTTCTACGACTCCCTAAGACACTATTATGCAAAATGTTATACATCTAGGCACTTTTTCGCATACAAGCGGTTGACCCACTTCCTATTGAAAACCTAATCACAGAACATGATTCATACCTGGCGGGAGCAAACAGTAATTCTTTAACATTGTTTATGTCAATTATGACTAGACTAATAGTTTCATAAAGGTACTAACCGGCTAGAATAGTAAAGTAGGCGACACAGGTGATCTAGCTCTTGGCTGTGATCGAACAGACAACCCTTGTAGATCCATGAGCAAATAATATCAAAATGAGGACTTAAATAATTTTTTAGTCAGGTAAATTTATAACTGCAATGCATCATGCAATACAGAAGAACTAACTAAATGTCTTTATGCTCTTTTTTCTTTAGGAATCAAAAACACGACAAGGATGTTCCTGATGTTAACCGTATCAAGAAAGAGGATTCTACTACTCCACTTATTAAAGAAGAAAAGTTAACTTTTAAAACCGGTATAGATCCAAAGTCTGTAAAGAGAGAGTTGGATGACCCCTGTAATAATCTAAAAATATGTGATAAATCAATCCTACATGAACCCAATAGGAGTGAATGCAGTCCAGACAAATACATCCCACGGTATGATAAGATTCTACACCAGCCAACTGTACAACTTTTACCGACAATAAAACATGAAAACACTGACATTATAACTGTAAAAAAAACCCAAATTCAAGAAAAACATTTAATCGATTTAGAAAAAGAGTGGCAAGTGAAGGATACTCTTCCTACGGTAAAAATTGAAACCGAAAATGTCAACACTAAATTTGGTGGGAAAAAATGTGATAATTCTAATTTAATTAGTTTAAAAAATAATGTTGACTCTCGTGTAGATTTACTAACCGAAAAACAACCATCAGCATTGGAAAAAACATCTGAAATAATAACAAATTGTGAACAAAACAGTGAAGCATCCACCTTAGAGAGCCCTACTGTTTCGGAAAAAGATTCTCATGGTACTAAAAGCGCAGGTTTATTAATCAAAGTCAAGGATGCGATATCACTTGGAATTGAAAACACGCAGGAGAAGGAACCAGCCCAACCAATAGTTATTAATCCCCAATTACAACTAAAACCTCCAAATGAAAATGAATCAATAATTGCAAATATTTTAAGGCTTTACCCGTTATTTTTCTCACCGACGGTAAGAAGTGATTTGTATTGCCTGGTGGAGATTTTAGATAAATTGTCCAGAGAATCTCTCCTGGAGCATGATAATCAGATGTTTGATAGTGAAAAATACCTTTGGAAAGTGCAAAACTATAGCAGAACTTTTGTTGAAGCGTTTAATAAAATCTTAAAACTCAATGACCCGGAGTTGGATATCGATACATGGAAAAAAGTTATTCCGATGTTATATCTACAAATAGACAAGGCATTTGAAAAACTTGGACGAAAAGATTTTGATTTTAGAACGGTTATGAAGAAACTTTTTGAGATTCAAAAGTTTGTTTGTGTACATGATGTGATGCTACAAAAGCCTCACAAACAGTTCAAAGATATTGTGGCCACTTATTATAGATGGCTTTCTGAAATATTCATGGAATGTGAACCTCTGGGTTCAGGGGACGATGTGCTTAGCACAAGTTCCGAAGAAATTGAAGAAGTTGGCGAGCATTCAGTCACCGAAGATTTTAATATGAATGTCGATGAACAATCAAAGGAAAACGATACTTCTTCTGATTTTGATGTGAGTAAATGATATTATTTGACTTCAAAATTGGTTTGTAACACTAGTGTACATGGCTTACAAATGTTTTAATTTTAATTAATAACAAATTGAAAGCCTTCGTAAAAAAATATTTTATTAAAATCATCACAATCACTAACATTTTCCTTAAAAATGTCATATTGATTTGCTATAAAAATAACCTTAGGTAATGAGTACTTAGGTTTGCTGCTACAGGGAAGATAATCAAGTGTGTTTTAATAGCTTAGTATGAAATAATAGCATATTTCATCACCAGGGCCTAAAATGTCTTTTTTCGACCTGAGCTCAAGTTTTACGATCGAGGCTGAAGCTGAGGTCGGAAAATGAGCGAGGGTTAAAAAGACACTTTTTGCCCGTGTGATGAACTACCTTTAGTTTTTTGACATATTGCATCTTGCATCATTAATTAACAACGTAAGATATGAAGCAAAATTACTTTTCTAAAGATAATCTTTTCTCAAAAGTACTTCTAGGTCGTTTTCAGTTCTGCTATGTTAATAAGCAGCTGTTAAGTAAGTGATTCAACCATTTTGTCTATTACAATTTGTTACTGTAAATTATACCATCAATATGTCGAATTAACGAATGCAACAATAAGGTAAGCTGAAACCTTACCTAATGGATCAATCGATAAATAACTTCGTTCCATGCGATTGCTACAACTGCAATTTACAACTGTTTACAACAGCTGATCTTTACTCCCTAAAGAGTAAAAATGCTACTTTAGACCCGCAACGCATGTATAATAATGGCAGTTTTTGCTGCAGTATGACAAAAATTAAATTACCTAGTTTGATCTAAATACATCACTGAACAAGTAAACTAATGTAGTTTGCCTTCCACACTCTGAATTGATGTTAAAAATACCAAGTTAGTAAACTTGGGTTGTTTGTAAAGCTCTAAAACTTGATTCCAACAAAGAATTCCCAAGAAAAATAATTATTTTCAATCTGGATTCAAGTATAAAATGCAACCAGTCCAGTTCAATTTGTTTTCACCGAACTCTCTTTCAGGAATACTTGTGTTGTTTGTACAAAATTCTAATTGCATTGAATTTATTATTTACAGTTGGATGTGGATTACCTCCATTGTCCTATGTGTCGACAACGTTTACCCCGTTGTTACCTCTGTCACGAGCTACTTACCTGTCCATGTCAGCTGAAGGTAACAGTGCTACATCTATTTAATAAGTTATCTCTGAATAAATATTCAACTCGAGTCAAGTACTTTCTTATAATTGTGTGTCACATTGTGGATTTCACTAAATACCCACCTTTACTGTCATTTAGATGAATTAAAGTACAAAAATATTTCTATAGCCTAATTTGAAATTGAATTTATTGTAAATGAAATTAGGCCTATTTTTGGCGGATAATATTAATGCATCAACTTTAACAGTTAAGGCATATTTTAGTCAGACAAGATGAAAACAGTTTTGAAAGCCAATTTTTAAAGAACAACGAACAAAGCTTTAGTTTTGGGAGTTAATTTTATTAAAGAATGGTGCAGTATTGCCCTTGCTCAAAACTAGAGCAAAAAAAAGAGCCACTTTAGGCCCTGGTGATGAAATGATGATTGAATCAAATGCGACACAAAATCAGGTTGAAACTGAGTTTATTACAGTAAACCTTCGATAGTTCAACACTCGATAGTTTGACACTCCTTGTAGTTAAACACGTGCTGAGCTATTCTGTCAAGTGATATTTAATGGTTACTATTGTGATGTAAGCTGACTTGAACGTTAATTTGTCATTTATTGTTGACTTGAGACTTAACTAATAAACAGTAAAATTTTTAAGCTTTTAAGTACCGTATTTAACAAATTTTGGGGATTTCAATATAAGACTTTTGTTTTTACTTTCCTGTATATTAAACTCCATTTACTCCCTATAGTTTGACAATTTGATAGTTAGACATCCTTTAAGTCCACAAAGTGTTGAACTATCGAGGCTCTACTGTACTTACAAATACATATTATCAGTCAGTTGTATTAATAATGAATCAACATTGCTTCTAGATCAATGTAACAGCTGAAAAACATCAGCTAACTGTATCAGCTCTAAACCTCTGCCGGGAACATGGCTCTTGTGGGGACAGCTGGGATTTGTGGGAAAGCGACTGGTTAAACCAAGACATTCTTGATCATGTGAGAAACCTGTTTTCATACTCATTAAAAATATCAATATTAAATATTTTTTTCCTTTTTCCTAAAAAATAACATTTAACAATTATTATTACCGTATTTGTTATGCTACAATTGGTTCTCCAACTATTTTAATTATCTCTTGTTAGGTAAAATGTGTCTCCTGCAGTCACAGCAAAATAAGATCTCTCCCTGTTTTGCTGCAAAATTCCGCTATCCCATATTTCCAAGTAATTTTGTTTCTGAGTACTTTAGTTTCTGGGTAAATATAATTCTGAGTGATCAGAATTATACTGAGAATCATCATAATTAGAATACCCACAACCAAATACATTCTAATTTAGAGTTTTCACAACTCTAAACCATCAATTCACCCACCGCAGCAAACCTGCAGTCTAAGTGAATTTCCATTTGCATAATTGGATGTTTACCATCTATATCTATTCCCTATTTGAATAACATCAGGTTTAACAATTGCCTTGGTTTGCTGCCTCAGCAAAGGTAACATAGTGTGTTTTAAAACGTTTTTTACTTTAATGTAGGCCAAAATAGCTTGAAATAAATAAATTTGCCAAATATTATCAAAATCAAAATACAATCATAACAAGCAATCTACAACTAACTGAGATCCTGTATTTTCCTATAGTCCCCTTTCACTTCAGGTTAATTCACCTAATTTGCTACTGAGTGCAGTCCACCCTCTACTACAGTTTCCAATTATATTTTTGATTATTTTCTTTTCCAAAATTTTTCTCTACAAAAATTGACATTTTACAGAGAGAAGAGATGCTTTTGGAGTCTGTGTGTTGGAACAGATCTTGCAATAACAAGGTGGAAATGCTTTGTGTCTGCAGAGTTCGGGCGTACTGCTCCAATATCTGCCAGGTAAATGTGTTGATAGTTAGTCAGTTTGATAAACAATCTTGAGTTGGACTGATGTATATAGACCTGGGTCGTACCCTGGTATAGGAATCGTTGTCCATGTCAGCTTATTCCCTAAAAATATGTAAGTTTTTTTAATCATAGATGTTATGCAAACTTTAATTTTTTATTTATTATTTTAATTTATGTTTTTTTCTCCATTAAATATTGTATGCCAACAATTTTGTAAATACTTTGTTTAAATAGGCTAAAGATATAATTCGTTCATTTATTCAATCATTACATAGCACACTATAAAAATGAGTTGCTATAACCAAAGTTTTCTGGTTTGCATTTCTATAGATCATTTTATTCAGTCATTTTGGTTTATATAGTCCATCCAGATCGGGGATCGTATTAGATGCCCCAATCGCGTTAGATGTTTGTTGCCTCAATCGCGGGAAATCATTGAAATTATTGCCCAAATCAGTGAATATATACTATTGGTCAAACTTGTAATATTACGTTTAAGAGTTCAAACTCTTTTGAAATCCATGGTCAGTTTAAAGATGTGTGTACTTCATCCATTTGTGGACTTGGCAGATCGGTATTTATTTACATGCCACAATTTCGGTTTTGTCTACCCCCTATTTCAAAGCTATAGCTGCTGAATTGGTACAAATGCACAATTTTACAGATTGAAGATTGGCGTGAAGATCACTTCAAGACTTGTAGGAGAGAGACTGAGCCTGAATGTTTACTTGCAGATCTCCAACTAACTCAGGAAATGGATGTGACATGAGGAAAGTATTACGTGTAAATATTTACATCTGTTTTCAAGTCTAAGACTTGATATTTGACTGATAGACATTAGATTCGTCAATCCGTAAGACTGATAGAAATTTCACACAAGTGACTACCTAAATATTGGATTTTTTTCCAAAAATCTTTTTTTGAAGTCTGATTTATAATAATTTTTAATGGAATTCAATCGACGTAGAAGCGCCCGTTTGAAAAACATAAGTTATCCATATTTTTGTAACAGTTCAAAACTTTTAAAAAGACTCTAGTTACTAGTTTTATTTGCTATCCTCTTTTTTGTTTGAACATTTTTTATTCACAATTTCTCTAAGAAGTTCCCTAGCCAACTTTTTGTTGAAAACAATTGTAGCGTAGACACAAAAACAAAGGATTGATTTTTAACAATAACTAGATTGTTAAATATTTTTGTCTTAATTTTATAATTTTTTTTAGTTGGGAAATTACTGCCACTATAGTATTAGTTACTTTTTAATTTCCATAACAATTTTTAAAATCTATTTTATTTTAATTCAAGTACTGTACTATTTTAACCTAGGTCATATTGATTTTTTTTGTGAATCGGATGATTCCATATGGGCTAAAGGCCATGCAGAACGTTGTTTACCATTGTATAATGTATATTTATATATATATATTTATCAAGATCATTTCAAATGTATAGTTTATTTTCTAATAATGCCTTTGTTAAAAATAATGAATATTTTAATTTTAATTTTAACCCTAGCGCTGGCACACGCCGGATATACGGCGCGAACGGCCGCGGCCGAAATGGCAACGCCGGATATACGGCGCCAATGCAGATATTACGGTAGGCCTATATATAATTTTTTTTATTTTTTTAATTTTTTTTAGGTTTGTTCACTTTTTAGGGCTACTGTTGTAATAAATAAGTTAAATAATACAAACCAGAGTACCCTGGAATTATATGTTATATAAGGTGTACGGTTTTGTACATGACCTGGGTTGGATGATTATTTGGTACTAGCGTGGGGGTACGATCGACATAGTAATAGGGCTATCAAACAAAATACACAAAATAAGCTATATAAACTATATGTTTTTGGAATCAGCACAAAATTTACCACAACTTTACAATTTACCTTATGATGATAAGTCTTACATCTACTTAGCTATACGACGGAATATAAAAACATTTTATAAAAAAATTAATAATGACTACAATTTGAAAAAAACTAAAAAAAATTTTTTTTTGGTAACCATGTAAACCACCTATGTTATTGTTCTTTGTCTTATTCTGAACAAAATGATATATAACAATCCATAGTTATGTTGCTATTTCTAATTTTTATAATGGTTTAAAAATGATATTACATAATCAATAATATCCCTATGCCAGTACAGCGTTACACTATTGCCAGCTCTAGGGTTAATTGGGAGCATGTAGGTTTTTTTACTGTTTTACTATCTGTATAGATATATTTTTAATTCTATGAACCAGGTTCATTTTAAATGAATTATGTATTTTAAAACTTTTTTGTGCAATATTGCACTATTAGGTTAGTTTTATTTAATTGATTTGACTTTTTAACAAAATATCATTATTGTACTATTTTTTTTTTTTTTCAATCAAAACAAAACAGTTTTCACAATCGTCAGTGTATTTTATATAGAAAAGTTCTCCAAGACTTCATTTTAGTGTAATCCTTTGTCTGTGATATTACTTTCTTCAAGTTGTAGATGAAGTAATGTTTTCTCAAATCCGAGAAAAATACTCGTGTACCTTGTTTGTAAAGATGTTAAAGAAATATATTGTATAATTTTTTTATGATTTTGAAACTGTCTGTTCCGTTATTATTCATCCATTATCTAGCCTATAGTTAAAATTTACTCTCGTCATCATTTTAGTTTCTCCTTATAGTTTCTCTCAAGGGCTTCTTAAGATAGCAGACGTTTTCAAATATTCATTACGAACACACAATTTTTTAAACATATTCTTATTTAGTTTTGGTTTTTTGTACACCTTGTGTTATTTAATCATAATTGCAAAACATACATTTTACAACTAGTGGGAATTTCAATTGTGCCAATCACTTTATCAGCCTCTCATTATCAAAGTAAAATTGACAATTGACATTTAATTTAATAATACAATACACTGTTAAAAATATACTTAACATCATTTTAGTCATACAAGAGAAAGTCCACTTTTAAAGAGTAATGAAAATTACTAAAAACTAACTTTTATTCCAACTTACCTGATAATGACCGTTCTGTGCAAGCTTTGGCGTGTATGTCCCGTTGTAGAGCAATAACCTTGATTTATAGAAGTACAGTAAATAAAGTATCCGATGCAACTTAAGATTTTTATAAACAACGCTAATATGCCTCAATTAAACAAGTGTGAAACTAATAGAATGGTCCTAATGTGAGCCTCTTTTATGTGTTGACTTCTTACTTCTGTTGATTTTCATTTTCCACTTTTGCAATATATTTTATTAAACTAACATCATCTTCTCTTTATATTGTTGTAACATTGAAAGTTTCAGCAGCGATTTAGCCAAAGTCAACAGGTAACTCCATGTTTCTATGATGTTACAAATAAAAGATTCATAGTAATTGTGGTAAAACTGCCTATAACTGTTTATTTGGAGTTACACAGACGAAAAGAAATTTAAAATCTATTTGTGTTAGATATTATAAACCCGTGTTTACATTTTAAGACAAATTTGTAATATATGTTGTATATATTCCTTAGTTATACTAGTTAAACGATGCCAAAATTATACCAAATGTAGACAGTTTTGTACTTGTGGTTGGGTTTAAATTCAAATTTAGCTATAGAATAGATATACTTTTTTGAAAAACAAATCACAAAATAATAAATGTTAAGCATGTGCAGGCTTTATCAATCAATCCAAAATTTATTGAAGCTGTAAATTTAGTTCCATAAGTTGCAGAACTCAGTTTAATTGTCAAACACATTGCTTTCTAAAATTTGCTGCTCACTTTGGAGAAGATCGGTGAGTTTTATTATTAGAACAACAACACAGTTTTTGCAGATCTAGTCATACTGTAAATCATTTTCAAGGATTGTTACAACCATTTTTGTAAAAAAATTTCATCTAACCTCTGTTAGAGGATGAGATTTTTTGTATGAGCAAAATGGCAGCTATAGGTTGGCAATGATTCTTCAGAAACCAATATCATAGATAAATCATACTCCCTTAGTAGATTTCTCATCTTTATGGAACAGCTGAAGACAATTTTATTGTAAGTCCTGTACGGTTTATGTAGAGGCCGTGTTTTGTTTACAATTTGTTTCCCGTTATTACAGTCATTTAAAACCTCGTTTAACCGAATAATACAATCTAATCATTAACAATAACTTGTCCCCTAGTTATATAACCAAACGGTAAAGCACAAATAAAAAAATGAATAAACCCTAAAATAATAGAAACAAAATTTCGTCGACACTAGCGCCCAGTGTCACCGTACATTAACTAGACACGAAAAACGTGCTTCAAAATTTACAATGGGATGAGAAGTCTACTTGTGGTGTTGGTTAGTCTATGCTAATATTCTGTACTCTTACATAAAAAATTATAGGATTTGAGTTCAGGCATTTTAGATGTAGACACAGCTTTTTATTGTTGATTAATGTTGCCATAAATTTAGCAAAAAAAAGTGTTGTATCTTAAGTCAGTAGCCTATATTATTCCTCGTCATTATGATTAAACTTATTTTTTTATAGGTTTTAAAGAAAAGGTTGAACATTAAAAAAATTTCAGAGTTGCCTTTTCCCTTGGGCCTGATTTTCTTGAAAATCTGGTAGGAACAACTTAATAATTAACTATAATCATAAGACCATCATGAAAATTTATGGGAAATTCAAGAAGTGCTCCATAACAAAAACTTATGTTTTGTTCAGTCATCAATAAGTAGAGATGTTAATACTGATACCTCAGTATTATTTAGTGCAGTGGTGGATCCAGCTTTAGATTGACAGGGGGCAAGGTTAGAGGTGAAGCCCCCCCCCCCCACATTGTCATTGTCTCCCGCGGTCACGGCAAAACCCTGAATAACCCCCGCGGTAACTAACACCATCGTTGTCTTCCATGTTCGCTGCTAAATTCTGATTATATCCCGCATCCTCGTTTCCCACGGTCATGGAAACATTATCATCATCTTCCACGATGGCGGCAAAACTGAATATCCCCTGTGTTAACAGAAACATGAATATTATCTTCGCTGATCGCGGCAAAATTTTTACATTACATGCAGTAAAAAAATATTTAGCCCAATAGTTGCGGTCGCCCCCTTTGCTTTGGATCCACCACTGATTTAGCGATGCAATTTTAAATATAACAAATATTTATACACCTAATTGTATAAAAAAAATTGTATAAACCTTTATTCCTCTTAAATTACATTTTGCTAGTGTTATACATGTGATATGAGCACATAGGTAATTTAACATAGAATATATTTTATAATAATGGCTATTTGTTTTTGACTGTGATGTTTTGTCCTGTAGTTTGTAGTCTGTTATATTACAAGAATACAAGTGTAATACTGTAATATATTTTTTGGCTTCTTTCATTAGTAATGAAAGCAACATTATCATTAAGAGTCCTTGGAGGCTAGCGGCCGTTTTGGATAGATTTCAAACAGCTCTGCTGAAGGGCTATTTATCATCCCAAAATATTTTCCAAATACCAAAGTGATTGTAATTTAAATACCTAGTGCACTGTGGGATTAGACAGTTAATTTTTTTTATGAGCTAGAATGTCTAGGCTCCAAGTTACTCAGAATAAAATGAACTATAGTATGAATAAGCCATTATCTCAATATTATTATTTCTCTGTTTGCATTTTTTCATGGCCCTTAGTTATTGTTATTAAAATTTAAAACAATCTCTTGGGTTTTTTTCAAAACAATTAATCAATCAAAACTAAATACTCGTGTTATAAACAGCTTCTCAAAATCCATTTTTTTTTACTTGTTAAACAAACCTGTAAGTATAATTATTTCTAATTGTATGTATTTATCTTTTTGTAAGATTATTGTTAAAATGATATTGTTGTTACCTAGAGGTTAAGTTTTCAAATAAATTTTTATATATTTTGAGTTTGATTAATTATTTTAACTGTTTTACTGTCAAAAACCCAAGAAGAAGAAGGAGGCGCACAAGGATTCAAGAATAATTTGGAAGTGAAAACATACAAAGACAAATTAGGTCAAACTCATCAAATTTTAAATTGTTATTAATTTTTTTTCTATGTTACCAATTACATCTGATAACTTATAGTTTGTTTTGCTGAGAAAATTCCATATTATTATTTTCATCTTAACAATTAATTCAAATTAAAATATATCTAATCATCATATTACAGAAGCTGAGCCTCGCCAAGTTGTCAGCAAAGCCCTTTTAATATACTCAAAAAGTGCAAAACATCTGTTTCAACAGTTTTTTTTCCTTTTTTGAAGAGCAAATCTATATAATCATACTACTTCTGAGGCATGATGTGAATTTTTACCATGCAACAGTCATGAATACCTTCAAATACTACATGAAGACTCTTCAAAGCACTGAAGACACTGTACCAACATTAAACTAAATGAGAAAAACAAACTTAAACTGTTTTATTAAAAACATTACTTATTTTTTTGGATCAATTAATGCATATGGCAAATGTGTAAAAATTTAAAGGTGGCAACAAGATGCATTCCTGGGTTTATTCTCTTACCTTTTTATATCAAAAAACGTTTTCTCCATACTCTGTGACTATTCAGATTGAAAAAACTCCCACATCCATTTTGAAATTTGATTCTTTATGGTTTATCGGAGTGAGCACCACAAGGCTTTCAAAGTGTAGTAAATTTTACAAATATTTTAATAATTTTTTATTGAAAACCCCATTTGCAAGATGGTTTTCTGTTGGTTGCTTCTTGTTTTCTGCTGAACTTGAATTTTTTTTATAAATGAGCACAAACTGAATATCAAGAAACAAAATAGGGCCATGGAACTCATTCCCACCAACATGAAGATTTTCTGAAATAATGACACGAAAAGAGGAACAAGATTTTTAAAGTATGAAATTGTTGTGAAATATTATATCTTTTAAACACAAAAAATATTATGAATATGTACCTTAAACTAATAAATCAACCAAGAATATGTTATTCATAATTTTCATTAGAAATTTTTATCAAGAAATACCCTTTATTTGTGGAAATGTTTAAGCTTTTGGACAAATTTAACAAATTTTTTTATCTTCACTATACGTTATACATTTAGTTCAGAAGCCAAAGAAGAGGCATAAGCATTGTTAATTAGATAATAGACTTTTGATTCCAATCTGGTTTTGGAGAGAAAGAAGAATCTTTTAATAAGACCAATAACCTGGGAATGAGCAACTAAATAAAAGAAAGGTTTGAAACAAACGTGTGCCAACTGCTGTGGACTTGGACAATCTTGGATTACAATTTGGTGTATAACAAAAGAAGACATGGAACGAAATAAGGATCTTGGAACTCACCCCAATGGCTGCCTATCTATCAAATTTCAGTCATATGTCAAACTCGAGAATCTGAATCTCTTTATCTTAAAATTCTTTAAAGACATGCAAGGTGTTAATGTGCTACGGTTACACTTCTACTCCAGTTCAAAGTTAACTAATTTCATTTTTACTAAAATGTATCTTATAAAGAAATGTTATGAAAACTTTAGAACTGATGAGAATTATAAGAAATATGCATTTCATCCTACAAATTATATTGATTTGAAGTTAAGTTATATGTGGGGGAGGGGGGGGGGGTTAAAAGTAGAAGCGCAACACATTTTTTCTATATTTTTTTTAAGACTACAAATGTATATAAACAACTAAACAATATTTACAAAATAGTTTTAACAGCTTTGTACAAGTTTTTTAATACGATAATATGATACAGTATACAGTAAACTACAATGAGTTTTAGAGAAAAAATGTTTTTTTCATGTTTTTAACTAAAAAGGTAAAAATGAGTGTTTTAAACGTAATACTGCCTTATAGTAAAAGATACTTATTTTTTCTTTATTTAAATCAACATATCTTAATAATAGCTTTAAAAATAAACTGCAAAGTTTTTAAATTCCAATGGGAAACAACTCATCAATCGTAGCTTATGTACAATATCACTAAAATATTAACAAAAATCACATAAAATTGTGGAAATAACTATTTAGTCTTGTGTTTAAACGAAAAGATCTTGAGTAGCGTGACAGCTGGGGCTTCGAATGCGAGTGAAATCACAAGTGACAGAAAGTACGATACTACCAGAACTCCCAGGAACATTATCAACTGAAACAAAACCAGAATAATATACCAAGAGAATTAATTACCACTTTACAGGAGAATATTAATCCTAAATATTACCTGTATTGGCTTGCAAGTGCAAGCTTTATATACAAAATTATGAAACGGGTGAAAATCACCATTTTGAAGCTACTTAAACTTTTCAGATTCGATAGTGCTCTTAACTTGTTCGCTGCAGCCCATCAATGGAAGGCGTAGCCCCAGTGCGGCGCTGCGTCGAACGAACCAGATTGCTGGAGATTGGGTTTCAAATTTCGGTCTGACAAATAGCAAGTAACATGTAAAGATTTACTGCGTTACGTCGAGAGTCGACATAGTTCGCTATAATACCCACAGATGGCAGCAATGCTTGGAACATAGCCGGTCCCATTGTATTGCCAATTGGAGGGAGAAATGTGGGACAACTAGTTGATTTCTAAGCTTGCCAGACAGGGATTTTATGGGGAAATTTACTACAAACACACACCACGACAAAAAGAAAGTCACACACAATTTGAGACTAAAGTGTACTTTAAGGAAAGCTGACAAAGAAACGAAGATATACGAAAGGCATTGCCGAGCGTTCCCGATCGGGTACGGACGCACCCGACGGGCGCTGAGCACTGTACCCGATTGGGAATGGCTACATTCAACGTGTTAAAATTATTAATATTGAGTTTTTCTCTCAGAATGGAATTGATAAACATGATTACGTAAATTTCAAATTGAAAGTAAAAATGTTTGTCTATAACGACTTTTCCAAAATTAAATATTTTTTTGCAGTTTTTACATCAACTTACCACCAGATCCTTGCCCAAGTGAATTGGACTGTCCATCTTCATTGCAAATATCCTAATCAGTATTGGATGAACAAGATAAGCGCAATAAGTGACTCTGCTGAAGGGATAAAGAATCGTCGCTGACAGGATCTTGTTCACAAAACCTGGAAAGAATAATAATAAGACATTACATCAAGCATCACCTAATGCAGTTTATTTAAACTGTAGAGCGTGTTGCAAGGCAGCAAAACTACACATGCAAGAACTCATTTTCGTACAATTTTGAAAGAAAATTCTGAAATCGTCATAAAGATATTTGGTTTCAAGAGTTACATGCTTGATGGAAAAAAACTTGTAAAAATAAACTTTTATTTTCAGGTGTTTTGTATATACTGAAGCAGGAAAAATGTACAGTTTAAAACACGTTCGCTACCACAATTATATGGAATTTACATTCGCATAGACCAGCGACGCAATTGTGCGTCGACTCGTTTCTCACAATAGACCACCGACGCATATTTGCGTCAGCTGGTAACATTGAAATAGACTTACGACGCACAGTTGCGTCGGTGTTCAATGTTATTAATCAGCGTATTTCTTAGCAACGGTCTATTTTAAAGCCCTGATTTTATCTTATCGGTCTAGAGGGATATCTGCCGCAAATGTGCGTCGCTTGGTCTGTGGATATGACGATTGGTTACGTCACACAACAGTTGGCAACATTGTTGTTTACATTGTGTATTCCGCGACATCACAGAACAGATGTAAACGTTATAACCTTTGCAGTTTTGGCTAGTGTTTAGTGGAGTTTCTTTATTTGTTTGTGTAAAAGCTGAAACAACCAAATTTACAACGACGCTTACGTGCGTCGCCTGGACTATTGAAACGAAAATGTAATCTTTTTAACTGGATTTCATTAAATAGACTGGCCGACACATATATGCGGCATTTTAAAATTTGCTCAAAAACGATAAATAAAAACAATATTTATTGCTTACTAATTCACTTAAGGTTAATATGAAGTCAATTAGTCCATTTAATTGATATTTCTCTTTTGGTCTGTCGGAAATGTTATTCCTATATCACTTGGTCTGTAAGCAACGTCATGATCATTCCTTTTGGTCTGTAGGAGTGACCGGACCGACGCAAATGTGCGTCGCTCGGTAGCGAACGTGTTAAATTCTCTTTGAAATACACTACAGCAAAATCCTAAAGCCAACGACCTTTTTATTTATTGTTTAACACTTTTTATCTTCATATTTTTTTTTTTTTTTTTTTTTTTTTTTTTCATATTTTGTTGTGGTGTTTCCGGACCAATTGATTGACAAATAAATAAAAGGTTAAAATACCTGCTTGTCGCCTTGTGGTCCAAGTGTTGTCCTAGTGGATTATGTACATTTCGGCGCGAGCGCCATCGTCGGATCCATATAAGAACTGTTTACACTAAACTTCCCTGAAGAGGTGCGTTAGATGATCACAACACAAAACACATATAAAAACCGGTCGACCGTTAATTAACATTTTTTAACTCTTGCTACGCGTGCACGGGCAGGATATGGAGGCGCGCCAGACGTGTGTCGAGACTCGACTGAAGACGGTAGTTGGTCGTGATCTGACCTTTGTCCTGGTGACGTAGCTAGTGCAGCATTGTTTCGGCTATTATTCATTTGTATTAAGGTTTCAAAGAGAATGTTGGATTGCAGGGTGTTTTTGTCGTTTAACAGGTTGTTTGTTTCAATTTTAGAGGCTCTGTAAATTTCGAATTGTTCCAATGCCGTCATTGTTCGGCCTTTTTGGCAAATATGTAAAGGCTGCAAATTTGTTGTTATATCAGTATAACTATGGTTACTGGCTACCAAATGGTCGGCGAAATTTGATTTTTGAACGATGGTTTTCTTAGGAAGATGTTCTTTAAACCTCTTTACAAAGGGCCTTCCAGTTTGGCCAATGTAAAACTTATCACAGTCATTACAGGTTATTTTATAAACTCCTGTTTTTTGACAAAAATCCTGTGGTGTATTTTTTACGGAAAGGAGATTTTGGAGTTTGTTCGATGTTTTGAAGGCTACAATTTTACCATGCTTTTTCATCTGGTTTTTCAGTGTATGGGAGAGGTTGGTTCCAAATTCAACTGATACATACTCCATTCGCTCTTTATTGTTATCAGTGCTAGTAATGGCTTTTTTCTTGATTATTTGTTTATTGGTTAAACTATCGATCAATTTAGGGCTGTATCCATTTGAGACGGCGATGTATTTAATTATGTTTATCTCTTTTTCATAATCATCGGGGTTTAGGGGGACGGTGAGCATTCTATGAATGAAACTATTGTATGCTGCTATCTTGTGTTGGAAGGGGTGATGGGAAGTTTCATGAATGGTGGTATCAGTGGCTGTAGGTTTCCTGTAGATGCTGAATACAATCTTATCTTTTGTTTTTGTTAGTGTTAGGTCTAAGAAGTTGAGTTTTTCGTTTTCTTCAAATTCTATTGTAAATTTTAGCTGTGGATGAATGTTGTTTAAATAATTGTTAAAAAGCTGGATTTGTCTATTGTTGCCATTATACATGATGATGATATCGTCAACATATCTATGGTAGAAAATGATACGGTCTTTGTATTTGTTGGTATTGTCTGTCCATAAATGCTGATTCTCCATTTCATTGAGGAATATTTCTGCTAATATTCCTGATAAAGGTGACCCCATGGCGAGCCCTTCTTTCTGTGTAAAATATTCATTATTGAAACTGAAATAATTTTGTTGGAGTACTGTTCTCAGTAAAAGCATCAATTCATTTATTTCAACTTGGTTCAAATTAGAATTTTCGGTCAGATTTTTCTGTAGTATTTTTAAAGTTTCTAGGACGGGTACATTAGTATATAGGTTGGAAATATCTAAAGAGGCAAGAGTGTGTCTGTCATTAGGTTTTATGTCTTTGATTTTATTTACTAGATCCATACTATTTTTTAGGCTGTGGCTATTATCAAATGTGACATTAATTTTTACAATTTTCTCTAATCTTTTAGCTAGTTTGTAAGCGGGGGCCGGCATGTAGTTTACTAATGGTCTCATAGGCTGTCCGTTTTTATGTAATTTGGGCAAACCTTTCAGAGGTGGGGCATGAGGATTTATGGGTTTAAATTCTCTGATTTCTCTTTCGTTCAATATATATTTGCTGCTTGACAATACTTTATTTATTTCTTTAACATACTTGACTGTGGGATCCTGTGGAAGTTTTTCTATTTGGTTATTACTAATAAACTCATGTACTTTTTTATTATATTCATCATGGTTCATTATGACGAGTGTGTTGCCTTTATCTGCCTTAGTGATGACTAGATTGTTCGTGTTAAGTTTCTGACGAATAGTTTTCAATATTTTAGCCTCTTTAATGTGGAGACTATTGATTTTGGGATGGGTTGGATGTTTTATTAATTTCTTGAGTTTGTTATTTACCATGACTCTTACTGTGTTTTGTTCATTTGTATCACTCAAGGTTTGTATGGTTGCATCTGAGTTGATAATTTCTGAGAAAAGACTCTTGCTGCCATGTTGGGGTAGGTTGTATTTAAGTCCTTTGTTTAAGAGATCCATTTCATCTGAATCGAAAACTATGTTTGTTAGATTGATGGTTCGGGGGTAGAACTTGTGGGAGATTTTATTAATGTCGAAGCTGTGTTTAGTATTTAATAGGTTGTCAAGTTTTTTCTTTAAGGTTTTCTTTTTGTTTTGGATAACTATATATATCTGAGATTCAATTTTTTGTGTTATTTCATTTATTTGAGTTGTTTGAGTTCAACAGACTTTTTATCTGTTTCAACACGTCTTATTCAGCATCAAGTGCCATCATACATGCAAGAACTCTTGAGAGTACTTAAATCATTTTGGTAAGATTTTGAATGAAAATTCACATCCTGACCCAGAGAAACTCATCTTAAAAAATTGCTGCTGGCAAAATTAACATTTTCAATGTAATAAAAAACTGTCTTGCCCAAAATTAACTTTTTTATTTCTAAAAGACTCAATTATCCATCTGTTGGAAAAACTATAAAAAAATCCAAATGTTTCCATTTTAAAACTAACCCAAGTGATATCCACCGCACCATTTTCCGTATATTAAAAGCCACACGTAATATTTTAGGACTAAAAATCGTGTTGATGAAATTGTGAATTGAAATTTAATCTAGACCAAAATGCATTTCAAACTGTTTCTGCTTCCTATAGCATGCTTAGCAAAAATTGAACAACTTTTTAACTTTTATAAAGTTTGCTGTCTAAATTTTCAACAAATGAAGAACCTTTATCAAACAGTGTTTTTATTAGATTGTACTGACCTCCGTAGCCAGTGGAGCAGGCGATGACGACCCACGCTAGGCCGAGGGCCCACAGTGTGTGACTGAGGGAGGAGTAGGCTGCTGCTGTGATGGGGTGTAACTCTTGCTCGTACAGGCCGTAGATGAGGAAGAGAAGCAGAGACACTGATAGGGTCCAGCACACAGCTACTACAGCCTGAAGCAAAGATTAAAACTCAGAAAATTACATAATTTGATTCTGGACAGTAGAAACCATCGCTCAAAAGTTGCGTCAATTAGGGACCAAGTAGCAATGTGGTTTAAATGTTAATTCTGTGCACAACTGCAGGTTATTCATATTTACCATTTCAAGTCATTGTGAGCATTACAGGAACAACATGGTCCTGGCTAACAAGTAGTCCTAACCAGTAACAGAGCAGTTTGCGAAAAGTATGGCCTGAACTTTGGCCAAAACACAACAAATATGCACAAGTATTTGCTCAAAATCATCACGATCTAACATATGGCGGATGTTGCTGCGATTGCAATCAATTTATCATCCTATGTGCATGAACGACAAAATGGTGATTGGGGGGGATAAAGTTTTAGGAGTAAATGGGGGCGCTCTGAATATTTCTACTGGCCCCACCTAAGGCTGACTCTGGTAACAAAGCTGCAGAAGGAATCTCATTCCTTTCTGTAGCCGACTCATTCTTCACTTATATGGGTTAAATTAAATGCCAGTTGCATCCCTATGATAATTGTACAACTAATATACTTTTTAGGAAACCATTTCAAATGTGTACAACATTTTAATCTAATCTAACTAATTAAAAGATTGCACATTATTTTATTTTGCCATTTTTTTCAAAATAACTGAATATATCTTACTGAATATACTTCTTATTTAAACTCATGGAGGATATTCTTTGACCCCATTACCTTGTGAATCTTCATTTTGCAGTCAGTTTTGAAGAGGATCCAGCCAACAGACATGCCAACGAGGTAGGGTCCTAGTCTGGTCCAAGGCTTGTCATATATCTTGTCAAACAGAGCTAGTGGGTCATCCACACTGTCAAATGAAGATTATAGGACTTAAAAGTTGCGTGACTGTAAACATTAACTTGTTTTTTATGGATAATAAAAGCTGTAGAAGAAAATGTAGTTGATATAAAATCAAATATAAACTAGAGGACCCATGCTGCTCCGCAGCGTTAAAATAATTATTATATCCTAGAAATAATCAAATTTATAGTTTTTGATTGAGTAATACAGTATCTTGAGCTTAACTGATTCAAACGATCAATATCTCAAATTAAATCCTATAATTTATTGATTATTTTGTGTCTAAAACATATTGAAAAACATTAACAATACTGGAGCTACATATTGAAGGTACATCTTAAATTGAAGTAAGAATTATAAAATAAATCAAATTATGTGTTCTGGTCGTGTAATACTGTAGGTAAATATTTGTAGATGATTGATGGCAAATCTGTGCGTGCATACCTTCAATTCAAGACCTCAATCATCAAAATCGGTCGGGCAGAAGAGGCAAACAAACTCGGCGAGGAAAAACCAAATTTAACTTCTATAAGAAGTACATGGGGTGCAAATTTAATTTGCGTATACACCGAATGGGATTATAGATAAATATATGCCGATGCTTGATAGCAAATCTATGCGTGCATACCTTCAATTTGAGACCCCAATCATGAAAATCGGTCGGGTAGAAGAGCCAAACGAACTCGGAAAAGAAAAACCAATTTGTTTTAATATATAAGATTATGTTTTTATTTTAGTTTTTTATAAAAAAGAAAAAAGAAACAAAATAAAATGAAATAAATAAGAATTAATCAGTACATGGTTCCAAACAATTTTCTCATGTTGCACCATAATTTAAACAGACACAAGTCAAATCAAGTTCCTCTCATTCTGTTGATATGTAACATACAGTCAAGATTATAAAATATCAGAATATGAAAGGTGAACTTACTTAGGCATGTGTTGGTTGGTGTAAGCGATGTACATCGTCGTCATCCAAGAACTCACCATAAAAATGACCAAAAGGGAAGCAGCTGCACGAAAGTTTCTGAAAATCATCTCAGTTAACTGACTACATCGACACTTTCATTCATTCTATTTCTTCCGATACTTATAAACACCGAACACTGTAGCTCAGTGCTCAGTGGTCTTTGCTGGTTTTAAGGCTGCATTAAAGTAGTCACCACACCACTAGCTTGTCAAGAAGACTTAACTAACATTTGATCAGAGACTAGTAAGTCTGTAGTGACAGGCAGATAGGTAAAAAAACAAGTAGCTATATATATACATACATGTTGGATTTAGAACTATTCAAGATAAACGGGAGGATCGAATTACAATGATTGTCCAATAGATGGTACAGATATTCTCATTGGTACAGATATTCTCATTCATCACATCTAGTCATAAAAGATAAAGTTACTCACGTAATTGTAATTAATGTTGTCTGCATTCAAATCTAATAGATATCTAAGTAAATTACATATGTATATTGTATGTAATTATGTTAATGTTTATTATATGTAATATGTAACATATAATATGTAAGCCTTACCATAGACAAATAGAATTAAATATAGACCATCAGCTGTGCTGCAGTTACCTAAGGTTCTCGCACACAACAATAGGAGCGCCATGTAGTTACAGCGTACGCGCTACGTAACTACACGGCGCTTCCAGCGGTGTGCGCCAGAACCTATGGTAACCATTAATTGTAACTGCAGCACGACTGACAGTCTATATTTAATTCTTTTTGTCTATGGCCTTATACAGGGTGGCGCAGATGGATCGGGTGGTTTTAAAATACTTGCCAAACTGTCAATTTTAAAGGTATTGGATTGAAATAAAGTGCAAAACGTGTAGTTACAATGGAAGTTTATTGACAAAAATAGTTAAGTTAGTTTTTTTTAAATTACATCCATCAAATGCCTTCCTTCTCGAGCGACGCATTCTTGGAATCGGTCCTTGAGGTTCCGCATTGCTCGCTCAAGCACATCATCAGGAATTGATGTGATTTCGTTGTGAATTGCAGCCTTCAATTCCTGAAATAAGGGTCTACATGAACGAACCCCGGACCATTCAGGAGTTGAAGGCTGCAATTCACAACGAAATCACATCAATTCCTGGTGATGTGCTTGAGCGAGCAATGCGGAACCTCAAGGACCGACTCCAAGAATGTGTCGCTCGAGAAGGAAGGCATTTGATGAATGTAATTTAAAAAAAACTAACTTAACTAATTTTTGTCAATAAACTTCCATTGTAACTACACGTTTTGCACTTTATTTCAATCCAATACCTTTAAAATTGACAGTTTGACAAGTATTTTAAAACCACCCGATCCATCTGCGCCACCCTGTACAAATAGAAATCCAAATTAAGTTTCCGCATTCTCATTCTTTTATGCAACATTTATTGGAACTAAGATTGAAGTAAAACAACTATGGTCTATCCTAACTGAGAAGGACCTATTTTTTCTCCGTTTCATATAATACTTATTGATAATACAATGTATACATACTTGACAGCCATTATAAGAAGTATGGTGCCCAAAACAAAGAATTGTGTGTCGTCTGCTAGGTACCAGCTCCACAACATGCACTAAAACAATTTGATTAAAAGTTTAATTCACACCAAGTATAGCAATACAACTATAGTAGAAAAGATCCTATCATGACAGGGACACGCCATGGTCGGAATGGCCACTAGATCAGATAGGAGCAAATCTAAACTCTTTTTATGAGTAAAGATGTTTATTTATTTAACAAAAAAAGTTTTTAAAGTTATACAATGAACTAATCTTTAGCTAAAATTATAAGTAACGTTCTGTACTGTACTTAAAAGTGTTAATTGAATATGAAAAAATATTAATTAAATAGAATAGTTCTACTGAAATACATCTGCCACAATGTCGCGATTTTATTGTGATAATTTCCTGTGGTCCTATCGATAATCATTTCCATTTCCTGATGTGGTCATGGAAAAATCATCAACATCTTTTTGATCGTGGCAAAATCAAAAATTTTTATCGCAGTTGTGTAGACATTATTGTGTACGGGGATTCGGAAAAATATTGAATACCTCCCACAGTCGTGGATATAACATCATAGTCTTCTACAATCACGGAAACAAACAAGGTGAAAGCATGATTTTTTTTATCATGCTATCTTCGCTGATGAGGCCTGCAATCACAATTACTTTGCGATAGCATTGACTATATAGTCAATGGCAATAGTATCAGCTCAGCTCGAGTTTGATTTTCTGACTTAGCATTTGATCTCTTGAGCTAGTAGGCTCTGTTCAGCTAAAAAATTGAAACACTCGCACACCTCCATATGTTTAACTTTTAAAGGGACCTAAAGGTTGAATAGGTATCCTGAGAAGTCTGTTATGCCGAGGTAAGATATGAGGGGTTCTACTGTTATTCGTAATACTTGTGTGTAAAACAAATAACCACACATTTGTACTCCAAAATCGATCTGTATCATAGACATAGACATAGACTTTATTTGCACAAAACATTCCATACATGTCATAACATTTAGAATAGGTGCATTGTCAAAATTAAATCCATACATAAAATATTTAAAATTAAAACTTTTAACTTAAAACTAAACACTAAAAAAAAAATTTAAATTGTAGTTCTGTAAAAATCTTCAATTAAGTAAAAAGCCTTGTCAATAAGAAAATTATCTATTGTATCTTTAAATTTGGTTTTGCTTAGTGACTTATAGCATGGCGGAAGCACATTGTACAATCTCAGCCCAGCGTACAATGGAGATTTTTCATATAGGGTCAAACGGTGTCTGGGGAGTCTAAATATATTTTCATTTCGGGTTTCATACCTGTGATTAAAATGTATTGTTTCTGGTAGCTCATTTTTAACTGAATGTATGTAATTTAATAATTCTAGTATATACAACCCCGTTAATGTATGAATTCTTAAATTTTGAAAATGTTTCTTACAAGAACTGCGTGGATGAGAGTTGGTAATAATACGAATAATACGTTTTTGTAACCTGAATAAAGTTTTAATACCAGTAGCTTGACCCCATAAAATTATGCCATATCTTAACACTGACTCCACATAAGCATGATAAACTACTTTAAGTGTCTCAATAGAAACACAGTCCCTTAAATGTATGAATAAAGATGATATCGACCTAATTTTGTTACGTAAATAATTCAAATGTGAATCCCATTTAACTGCGTCGTCTACGTAAACCCCTAAGAATTTATGAGCTTCAACTAAATTAAAGGAACAGTTTTCCATATTTTTGTGTCTAGTAGAAAATTTAATAATATTTGTTTTTTCAACATTAAGTTTTAACCCATTTTCTAAAAACCATTGCTCCATGTCCTTAACCACACTTTGCAGAGAAGAAAACATTTCAGTTGTATTATTATTTTTGATCAAAGCAGTAGTGTCATCGGCAAAAAGAATGAGTTCTTTATTAATAGCTTTTGGAAGATCATTAATGTAAATAAGAAAAAAAAGTGGGCCCAATACTGAGCCTTGGGGAACACCTGTGGATATAATTTCCCATGGTGAATAATGTTTGTTGTTATCTTCTAAAATTAAAGTTCTTTGTTTTCTTTCAGAAAGGTAAGATTGTATTAAAGAAAAGCAACTTCCCCCAATCCCATAATCAATAAGTTTTAGCAACAGGAGTGAGTGATCCACACAATCAAAAGCCTTAGACAGGTCACAGAAAACACCTGCTGTGGCCTGAGACCTGTCCAAGGCCTCTGCAATCTCATTAACAAACTGAGTAAGAGCAGAAACTGTGCTTAAGTTTTTTCGGAAACCAAATTGTTTATTGTAAAATAAATTATTACTTTCAAAATAATTAACTAGTCTATAACTTATTACTTTTTCAAATATTTTAGAAAAATTACTTAATACTGATACTGGACGGTAGTTATTAATATCTGATTTTGAACCTTTCTTAAAAACGGGAGAAATTTGGGAGTACTTGAGTTGATCCGGAAAAATACCATTCTTTAAACACTGATTTATAATAAGAGATAAGGGTTCGGAGATAATGTCAGCAGCAGATTTGATCAATTTAATTGGGATTTCGTCCCAGCCTACCGAAATTTTGTTCTTTAGAGAAAGGATAATCTTTTTTATTTCATCTTTATTAGTGGGGCTAAGATTGCACAATGTAACCCCACCATCACTGCAGTATGATTTTACAGACGAATGAACACCATTGACAGAAGCCTTTTTTACATTCAGATTAATAACTGTATTACAGAAAAAACTGTTAAAAAGCTTAGCTACATCATCAGGATTATCAACAGTGGTTTGGTTTGTATCATCTTTTAAAACAATTTTGTATCTTTGAGTACGGTTTAAACCCAGTTCATTGTTAACAATTTGCCAAGCTGCCTTAGACTTGTTTTCCGATTTTCTAATTAGGTTATTATTTGAGAGAATTTTTGAATTTTTTACAACTTTATTAAATATTTTTTTGTATTGCTTTACATAGGATAAAAACTCTTGGTTTCTACTAAACTTGGCTTCCAAGTGCAATTCTCGTTTCCTCTTACTGGAAATTCTTATACCTTGGGTCACCCAATTCAGAGTAGATTTATTAGTTTTAGCATTCTTTTTTAGTGATTTAACAGGAAATATATGATTGAAAGATAATAAAAAATGTCTCAAAAAACTATTGTAATTTTCATTGGGGTTTAAAGCGGGGTTAAATACAAAATTATTATTAGTGCTCTGTAGATATTTGCAAAATTCATCTGTATTTCTATCAGAGATGATTCTTTTCTTAAAAGAACTAGAAGTATTCTTGATGGTTTTACACTTGGCTAGCTTAGGAAGGTTTATAAATATAGCATTGTGATCAGAAAGACCTAACTCAGTGTTTAACCTGTAATGGCAACTAAACGTTTTGGGTGTGATAAAATTATCCAAACAAGTAAATGAAGTATTTGTTATTCTAGTTGGCTCCTCAAATTGAAAACAAAAACCATTACATTCGACAATTTCTTTAAATCTACTTGTGAATGTGTCATTCGTTAAAATGTCTATATTAAAATCTCCAGTTACAAAAACAGTATTTTTTTTGAATTTTTTCTGTATTATCAAAAATAGAATTTCAAGTCTATCTAAAAACTGTTTACTTATGTTGAAATTTGGTACTGTATAAATAGAAATTAAAATTGAATTAAAATCCACAAGTTCAATAGCAGAACATTCAAAAATAAAGTCTTCATTTAAATTGGAAAACTGTGTTATTGTTACATATTTACAGTTCTTATCCACTAATATGCAAGATCCGCCCCTACAGCCACTTTCTCTTATATAAGAACTAGCCAATTTAAAATTATTGATTGTATTTAACAGAGAGGCTGAATTATGATCTAACCAATGTTCATTAAAAGATATAGCTTTAATATTCAAATTGGCCTCAGATAAAAATAAATTGAGAGCTGAAATTTTTGTTAAATTTAAACCTTGACAATTGTAATGCATTATTAAATCACAGTTAGTTGAATAAAAAGATTGATTACATAAACCTTTTAGTTCGTTATTTTGAGCCAGTGAATTTGTTTTGTGCAAAGAATTATCTAAGTTACTTAATTTAGCAGGTACAAGGTCATTGTCAGAATGAATCAGTTTAAAATTAAAGGAGAACTATCATCTAAAAAGGAATCTAACTCTAACACTGATGGATCACCCTCAACACTTGACACCACACATTTGCTCTGCTTTTTCACAACACTCGATGGTTTTGACTTAACAACTTCGTTATAGCTGAGACCGCCTGGAACCAACCGGGGGCTGATAAGACCAACAGCAGGAAGTTGTGTTGAAGTTGGTTGTGAGTGATGCTGTGGAGAACTAGATAGTGGTTGTAGTTGCTGCGAAGACGGTTGAGATGAGCAGAGTGTCAGTGGTACAGTTGTTGGTTTGCTTGCCGGGCATAATGTCTGGATGTTCTGTCTCAGCTTAAGGACAAATTCTGAATGGGAGAGTCCATGGTGAAGTATTCTCTGAGCACCAGGTTGTTCTTTTGTTACCACTATGATTGGAATGCCAGTGGTCCTGTGAAACTCCACTATTTTCCTTGAAAAATGTTCAATTCGAACAAAATCTCGCACACAACCCATGGGGGAGCATATCAGCACACTGAATTTCTTAGTCTTGAGTTCATCAGTCAGAGCTCCAAATGCTGAGTCATAACCATCCAGAGTAGGCTTGCCATTAAAGTTGTCCTTTGTTATAAGGCTGTAGACTGCTGCCTCCTTAGGGTTGCTTCTCTGGTAGGCCAAAGATTTAGACAAGCAATCCTTTAATTGGGGTTTCCCAAAATGCCTAGCAAAAGAAACTGCTACACCGGCAGTCATCCTTCTAGGGTGTTGAAAATCACCAGAGATTGTGTGGGCAAAAGCTACTGAGCTGTCATCTTTTAGAGCTTTGATCACCTTGTACATGTCTGCCACCACCACTTTAATTCCTTCAACGTTAGAGATATCTAATACAAACTCATCATTGATCTCCTCAGTAGCCGTTTTTAAGTTACTCTTCTGCTGGTTTGAATTAGTTCCGTAGATGCAATGTTTGATCAATTTAGAAACTTCTTAGTTTTCCTTAGTTTTCAGAAGCTGACAAAACTTTATCGAGATATTTAGACCTGTAAATTATTTACCAAGAGTAGTCTATCAGAAGCCACACAGCTGTTTAGCGAGAGAAATCTTTGAGGTAAACTCTTTACACAAGCTTATAGTAAGCAGTTATGAAAATTAGAATCAATTACATTTATTATGGCCAGACAATTTTTAAACAATACTAAGGATACAATTACTAGAATACAATTAAGGATACCTCTTTAATTTTGAGATGTATTTTATCTGGAAACAAGAATTAATTGCTAACCCTGAAAAATTGCCTTTTTACATCAAAAGACTCAATACTCTATTGGTTTCTAATCACTGAACTATCACTATAGTACCGGTAGTTAAATTATTATTGCTTCACAAATTGCAACAGATGAGAATGCAGAATAGTTGTAGTCTAAAAATTGGTTAGCCTATAGAAACAAACTTACCTCAAAAATGTTTGTTACTTATCTCACCTTACTCAAATAAAACTCTCAGGGTTTTAATTTATTTTTAAGCTCCGTCTTGACACCTGGGGCACGACCCATGGATTAAAATTTCTAAGGACACGAATAAAGGCCTGTAAAAAGGTGTTCATGATCTACATAGTTAAATTTCAGTTCAGTCAGTACAGCTGTTTTTGTGCTCACCAAAATCAAACTATTATAACTAATCGCTTTAGCTGTTCTCACCAATATTTTCTGTCGTAACAGACGTAAATTTGTCAGCCCCCATTTGGTAAGAAGCCCCAAATACATGGCAAGAGAGTTTGGCTCGACCGGGAATTGCTCCTAGGTGTGAAACATACCTAAATATCATATTTAAATTGTCCGGAAGTCCTTAGTTACTCACACAGCCCCCATTTTGTTTTTTTATTTATTAATTTTTTTCTTAAATGTGGTTAAACATACGAATATGAAACTTTGCACAAACATTTATAACAACTAGACAAAGCTACAAAAACATTATGACCATTTTCCAAATTCATTAAAAAAAATGGTGGTCATTTATATTTTCATTTCTTAAATAACTCAAAAAGCATTGATTTTACAAAATTAGTCAACAATAACTTTTTTAAAGCAATTTAATTACAAATCGATGACACCTTATTTTTTAAGATTGGACGAATATTAACTGAGATATGGCACCTTTGGTGATACATGACCGCTGGAGGTTAGTTGTAGTGCATGTCGAGGCATGCGGTCACGTGTCACTAAAGCTGTCATATCTCAGTTAATATTAAAAAAATCGAAGAAAACAAAATGGCGGCTATGTGAGTAACTAAGGAATTCCGGACAATTTAAATATGATATTTATATATGTTTCTTACCCAGGAACAATGCTCTAAAATATTGTTAGAGAGTTCCGGAACACCCTGTATATATATGTTTCCCTAGTGTAGATGTATGGTTACCATATCTTTGACTGGGAAGAGTGTGTTGACGTAGAGCAGGTTGCGCCACCAGTACTTGGGACAGTTGATATGGTCAGCTGCCGGAGGTTCAAACACGGAGTTGTAGTGGAACCACTTCATTGACACTTGAACCACCCCGAGCACAAACAGGTAGGGCGTGGTCAGTCTGTCAACAAATTAGGATGCAGTGCTAACAAGTGCCTTAATAACATGTATCCTTTATTTTATTTTCTCAGTAGCAAGAAGTTGAAATTATTTTAAAGCTATTTTTTGTAGTGGCCTTCTTGCAGTTCTTATTCTAGTTTCCAAAATATATTTGACCACTGAGAGTGGCATCTCCATTTATTTACACTATTTACAGTATATAATATAAAAAGTAAAAAGTTGATATCCTGTAAAAATAAGAGAACATCCAACCCTCTGTGGTGAAATATATCAGAGACTAGAATAAAGCCTCGTTCTCACTTCACGTGATTTTTCGAAACTCCTTGTGGCTTGTATTTATACGCGTCATAGGAACGGCTAGTCAGTGGTTCGTGTTTAAACTCTTAAAACATCAGAGGACTCATTAGCTCTTATAACTCCATAGCGCCGTGAGAACAGTCCGATTCGCAAATGTTCAAAAAATCTCTGATCTGTTGATAATCTACTGATAAAGGAGATTAGCGGCTTTGCCCTACCACACGTTTTCAGAGCGAGGCTTATGAACTGCTGCAAAAATAAAGGCTTCAACAGTGTAACTTAAAAATTACTTCATAATGCTATTTTAGATGACTTCCTCTCCACTCAATGAATAATCACTGATAATAATTTAATTTTAAATATTTAGGTCAAATAATTATTTTTGTGACATAGAAAATAAAGATAAAAGGAGGCATAAAAAAACATGTTATTATTATACTGTAGTTAGAAAAAAGGGAAAAGTCCTTTAGTCTTTCTCAAATTATGTATTTTATTTACTCCGAAAGGAATTGTACAGGGCACTTATACACACTGACAATTTACATAGGGTTCAACCAACTTATAATTTGTGAAATTCAAGGAATTTATGGTTAAGGCTGGTTTATGTAAGGTGTAATGTAATGGCAATGTCTACTTAAGTATCCTATGCAAGTATAGGGAATGGGGTCTGGAACATATTATGAATAAAATATTTTACCTTGTTTACATCACTTGATCAAAACTTTGGAGTCTGCAAGTGAAGTAATTTACTTTAAGCTCAATTTAAAAGCCTACCTCACCTGCAAAATCTATACACTATCATTCCTATGAACTGAAGAACATTTGAGAGAAATCCTTTTGTCCTAGTTAGCTTGGTGACATCATGCTTGGCGGTTGTGCGGAAATACAAGTAAGAGACTAGAAGTCCACTGAAAACAAAGTATATAACTTTATTATCATAAATGGTAACTAACTTCATTGTACGTAAAGCTACAACCTCATTTAGGTAAGTAAAATGAGGTTTTTATGGCATTGAAAGCTTTCTCAAATCAATCCAGCTATTAGGAAGTCACAAATTGTGGATATTTCATAGGCATGCACTGTGGATGCGATGCTCCCTGGTGTGGTTTAACCTCTGCACTAATGAGTACTACGACTATCCGCAGTACTATCCTGATACTAAACCAATTTGTTAATTACAAGGAACAAAGGTGGTTCGGATTCCACTATAAACTGTAGGTCCCTTAGTTGCCATTAGCTGTATGGGCTATTAATTAACAGCTGTGTCTAAGAAACATGTCGGCCTTAGTCCCTAACGAGACTACAAGATCACGCCACTCATCCTTCACATGTATATTTGAGTTAAAATAGGCACATAGTGATGTCCCCATCTTAAATAATTTATTATAATTGATTGAAGCTATTGAGTTAGTGATAAATTAGTGTGAGTGATATAGTGACATAGTGTCTGATTACCATATTCTTTTCATAGGTTATGAGATTTTAAAAATGTATTTGATCTGCATCACTGAGAGTTTCCAAAATTTACATAAAATAACGTTTAATCATTATTAATTCTGATTTACCACATTGCTTACCTTATAAAGAAGAATGTATCGACAGAAAAGGCTCCGTTGTTGATGGTTTGGAACAAAAATTCTCTTTCTACAACTCCTCTGTATGACATATTGTCTAGAAAAATATAAAAATAAAATTGTATACTTTACTTTTTCTATCAAATAACATATTTAATATAATTTGCCATTCTATCTTGGAGGATCGTCAAAATGGTTTATAATTTTTTAATATCTCCAATTGTGGTCCCCGATTAACACTCTTTTACGATTGATGCCTAAAGGCCAAACTCAATGTTTGTGTCCCTCCTCCTACCAATTGGGGTAATTAGTCTGGTGGTTGCACCAAACCTGGTATAAAACTAAATAAATTAATTTTATGAGTTTTTTAATTTGTTGAGAGTAAATGAGAGACTATTACAGCTTCGAATCTACAGACAATTTTCATGTTTTTGATTCAACCTGTGACGTCATAAACATAAAAATATGACCATTTGAAAATGGTCTAATCGATAACATTAGAATATAATTAAAGTTTTAAACAGCTGTTTCAAATTTTTGTTTGACCGATTGTTCTTGATGTGTTAAATATGTATATTTATATTAGATTAAGAAATTTCATTGTATTTTTATTTATTTATATTTAAGTTTGTCAGGTTAAGTGTAAGAGAGGGCCATGTGGCCCTAACTTTGCCTGGTAAAATAAAGAATTTTTCATTTCATTTCATTTCATTGTTTTGGGCCTTTTCTTAATTGTGTGGTCTTATAAGAGTTGGCAGGACTGCCGGCCATATTGGATTTCCTGCCCATAATGGCAGTGATAATGGTTGAAGCATATTGGGGTATTGTTTATTAAAGATAAAAAGCTGCAAAATATCTTATTTTTAAGCTATTGTAAACGCGGATGTGATTTGCTATATACTTTTTGTTATTATTTTGTCAAGCTACATTAATATATTGACTTAAACTATGATTTTTCCAATCTCTAAAACAAAAGTTTTAAAATCCGAAAAGCAATTCACACGGAAAATATATTAAAGAATCACATAAAATTTTCTGCTTAGTAAGTTAACGGTGCATGATTAATATGCTTCAACATGGACGGGTTTTTTTGGAGCACTGCAGTCAACAGAGATAAAATTATTGACTCCTGCCAACTCTTAAGCAGTCAATAATATAAAAAGATTTAAACACTAAATGTAATATTTTGCCTTTTGGAGTCTCTATAGTCTTCTTCATAAGTGGAGGAATAAAGAAAGAACGCTTTCTATTTAAATTTATCAAGAATTTTGAGCTCAATCACATAATAAACACTAGTGTAGCCACGAGAGTCTGCAGTTGAGTTGGCGGCAGCCAATAGCAAGACCTGGATTAGCACGACGTTGCCACATCGCCTGTTCACTAATTTTTGACATTAATTAAAATATAATAGACAATATTTTCTAATCAGCTGGTATCACATGGTAAAAAATCCTCCCTCAACTGCGGACTCTCGTGGTCTGTACTGTACATATATTTATTTCACTGTTATGCTTATTTTTTACACAAGATAAAGGGAGGTCTACATTCAGTATCAGAAGTAATCTAACCCTACTCAACAGACCTGAGTATTTGAATGCCACAATGCACGTGTGACCGAGGATGACCCAAGCCATGGAGATGGACCTCAACCCGTGCACTGTGGGTATAGTGTCATCTCCCACGGACTGGTCACAGATAGTCAACAAGTTCTTCCTGATAGAGAACGACAGTAGAATCTCTGTCAGCAAACCTGCCATCAAAACAGTGTTCAGTGGTCATACTTGAACAGGAATAGTACAAAACCTACACAAGTTATTTCAATCCATGCTGTACTTATCCTTCCAGTGCCAGATTTACCACTAGGCCGACTAGAGGTCTAGGGTCAATTCTAGCTGTACTCCTCCCCACCTTAACTTGAGGCAGCCCAAACTGACCTGCAGGGCAATTACCGGCTGATCCCGCACGACTCTTTTTACAATCCTACTAGCGACGCTTCCGTTGACGCCCTAGCTCAATATTAACATTAATAAAATCATAATCTGCCATATTGAATTTACTTGTTTACATTAAATAACATAAATCTAACAAACATTTATGTTTCTGTCTCATATAAAACGGACAATTTTCATGGTTTCTGAGCTGTAAACAAAATACCAAGCAAAATAAGTATAAACCGTAAACATTGTCTGTTTTAGACGGGGTGAAAGCAGAAATATTTGTTAAATCGATGTCAGTAACGTAAGAGAGTAAATTAATACATCAGACTATAATTTTATTAATGTTAGTTAATATTGAACAATGACGTTCACGGAAGGTCGCTAATAGGATTGTGGGGGGGTCGTGTGGGACAATCCGGCAATGGCCTTGCAGGTCAGTTTGGGCTGCCTCAAGTTAAGGTGGCGAAGTTATAGCCCACTGGTAGTTTTCTACATAGGCCTACATAATAAAGTTGCAAATTAAAAAAAAAATTAAGTAAGTTTGCAATGAGTTTTTGTACAAAAAAGTTTAAAATGTACTTTAAAAGTAGTAATACATATAAATTTTCATTGTCAATCAGATAAGCGACCCAGAAATCTGCACAAAAATATAGTAGCCTAATTCGTATAGGAATGTTTTTACAAATGATATGAGACTACGCAGCTAACCTGTTTTGATGACTGTCTCGTCACTTGTAACAGAGTTATTTTCCGTCGTTGGATCACTTCCCTCAGTAGGTGTCTCGCTTTCGGTCAGTCTCCCTAAAAAAGGTCTCAAGTAGTAAAAACTTCTTGGAGGATTACAAGCAAACCAATTCACAATACATTTGATAAGTTAGTATTAAAGTAGACTTCTTTTCCCATCGTAAATTTTTCAACTTGGAGCTTGTGTCTAGTTCATGTCCGGTGACACTGATTGCTAGTGTCGATGAAATTTTGTTTCTATTATTTTAACATAAATTTATTTATTTCTGCTTTACCGTTTGGTTATATAACTAGGGGACGATTTATTGTTTATGATTAGACCGTTTTATTTGGTTAAACGAGGTTTTAAATGACTGAAAATAACAAGAAACAAATTGTAAACAAAACACGACCTCTACAGTGCACCGGACAGTACCAACAATAAAATTGGATTCAGCTGTGAGGATGAGAAATCTACTAAGGGAGTATGTTTTATCTATGGTAAAATGGATGTGACCCAAATGTATAAAAACAGTTTTGATTAAAAGATTACAAAAGTGATTCCTACTGCATTATCTTCATAAGTTTTATGAAAGCTCAAGGTCCATTTATCCATTCTAAATTCTTCATACAGCTTTTTCTCCTCAGTAGCATACCAGACTAAATTTAATGACCAAAGACACAATCCTGCAAGTTTTGGATTTATTTGCTGAGAGACGTTCGCTATGGACTTTGAACTGGCATGACCAATTATTTACCTAGCTTTTAGAAACCCGGATTGTATATTTCTGTTCTAAAACCAAGTTTCAACACTAAATTCTATGATCAATATTTTAGCATGATAGTTAAAGTTCAGAAAACAACTGTTGATTATTCCAAGAAACAGAATTTTATCATATCCGGAAAGCAGCAGTTTTTAGTTCCCTAAATCGTCCGCAAATTCATTGTTTTTTGGAAGAAATGTAAACATTGATGATGACTTTGTATAACCTCAAATTAGTTGGTCTAATTTTGAAGCAATTACAAGGTTATTTCCACAGTATGATGAAAATAGTTGTTCATCAGACGTAGCGGAAATGTCTTTTTGGTCCTTAATCGTAAAACACGATTGCGTACCAAAAAGAGCCACTTTCGCTCCTAGTGATGAAAACTACTATTCTATGTACAGTTGTAGATTTTTTAAAGTCTATATTATAGTTGTAGAGTCTAGACAGTCAGCAAAACATAAAAAATCATTGTTGTAGATCTCTTCAAGTAAACATAGCCATAACCTTTTAAATTTGCACCATATTGATTAAAATAAAAAAATAGCTATCCGAAAGCGTTTTGCCCCCTTTATTTCTGTTAGTTGGGGTTTAGCTGTATTAAACTAGTGGGTGGTCCTAATCAATAATTAATCTTTACGATCTGTTTAGTAACAACTCACTGTTGTTATTCTCTCTGGACATTCCCATCTTGACGGGTACAGTTGTTGTGTTGATGCTACAATGGGTTGACTTTGAAAAGACAAAGGTGTAGTTGTCATATGTAAAGTTGGAGCTCGATGCAATCTTCCTTTGGCGATAGATATCCAAAACTGTACCGACTGTCAGGAACAATCCAACCACCACACATGCCACTCTGGAAACAGATATGATACTGAGTGTGTGGACCAGTTTGTCTCTTTCTCCTATTTGTAGGGAGATACAAATTTGTCCTTTGTGTAGACAGATGTAAATGAAATGTTTTACAATCTGTCAAGTATAAGATTTTTTGGAAGGGGATAGGGTTCAGCTAGCTTACTTGAGAAAGTATTTGACTTACTGTCTGAAGAACTCTTACATTAGTACATAACCAGTTGTTATGTTTTGGACTCTGTTGTGTATCAGTCGATTGACTCTAAATTTTCAGATAGCTTTCTATTTCTACTTTTTCCGTTCTTTGTTGCTTTTATTATAAGTATAATTTGTGATTATCTCACACGAGCATTGGCTTTTGGGAAGAACTAATTAATTTGACATTATAACATACTGGATTATTATTACATACTAGGTTCAGATCGTACACCTGGCTACAGTAATTGTTTAAATCCAATCTTAAATTAAAGATCGTAAATTTAAATTACGATTTTTAATTGTAAATCTAAGTTGTTAATCTAACTGTAAGATCAAAAAGATATGATGTGCATGGTACCGGTATGTCTGACTGTAAATGAGTATCTTTTTTTAAATAAATTCCTTTTTCAATTGAATTGAATATTTAAATCACTGATTAAACAAACAATAATTTACAACTACAACAATGCACAATCTGAAATCTGACCCTCCTTCTTCAGATGGAGAGGAATATGAGAGGAACCAAAAACACTAAATTAGTACTCTATTTATGTTGTATTTCTGTTTTCACCTTAAGACAGAGACAAATTCCTCATCTTGAGAAGTTGTGAAACTTTTATTTTCCTTCTCTGTAAAACAACGATGTAGAGCTTTTATTACAGGAGGTTAACATATGTGACCTAAGCCCTCATCATCTCTGGTACAAAATAACATACGACTACATGCTTTTACAGTATTAACACTAGTTTTATGTACAAATCACTTACACAATCATCACAAAGATAGGGTCGTCACTCATGATGTACTCAGTTTGAGGGGACTTGATTGCTTCTACCTCAACATTCCTTTGTGAGCCGAGCCGAGCCGAGCGAGCCGACAGTTCCACAACATGGGAGACATCAGTTGAGTCACATGACCTGGGGAGACACACTCCCATCAGCTGGGACCTTGCCTAAGGACAAAAATTACCAATGTCTTAGAGAATTATACACATCTAAGCATTAAAAATTATCATTCACTATTTTATGAGGTAATTTGACAACAGTAACGCTCCTTTCACACTATACAATTTCGCTTGTACGATTATTAATCATATTTGTAGTCAACCATTGGAGCCTATGACCCCTTTTATACATTACTAGCTGTAACCCGCGGGCTTTGCCCCGTTCAACTTCTTAATTTTCAAGATGATCTCGTTCGCATGGCTCAATCACGTCCTGGTTGAAGTTCGTTCGCTACGCTCACTCACCTTTAGGTTGGAGCTCGTTTGCTACGCTCACTCACCTTTTGGTTGCAAATTAGCTGTTGTCATAAATGTAAAAGAAATAATAGTGCTGCACCCTCCTGTTGGTAATCCTTGTAACTTTAATGCTATTGAACATCATAGAACAGAACCAACTTGTTTAATTGAAACAGCTGTTAAGATTCATTAATTCCATTTCTCATAAGGTTAACATGGGAAACTCTAGAGCCACTGGGGCGGAGCCGATTGGACGGATCGCAAAATTGATGGTGTATAAACCTATTCCATGACATTCTACACGTGTACCAAGTTTCGTGGCAATCGGTTCAGCGGTGTCTAAATATATCACTGCCAAACAAATATACAAACATCCTCTTTTATACTTATAGATATGATTACCAATTGTGTACGATTTTCACCAGCATGTAGGAGACCACGGGAGGTATCGACTCCTATACGAGTAATAATCGTGTCTACAGCTGATTGACCATATGGCCCCTTTCACACAACACGGTTGTTTAGTCGTCCAGGAGCCCTCCCCGAGTGCAGTTTGTTTCGTATAGTTTTGAGATATTTTGTTTTTACAGTTTAATTGCTTAGTTATTAGTTTAGTTATACCTTACATATAAGTTATAAGTCACAACAAGCATTTCAATTGGTTGAATAAAAATCCTGAACATCGTGGTATGTCTTTGTAGATTACTTTTCAATTTGTTGTAAAGTTCATCAAACAATTCTTTTAACACTTTCCACTGAAGTGTCAATGAATGGGTGGAGTGAGGGGTTGTATAGTGTGAATGGAGCGTAACACTTCGATTTGCTTCAAATTTCTATTTAGATTTTGCCCATTTTGTTGTCACGCTACTCGTCATCTGTTCATGTTTTTCTACAGGTAGAAACTTTCAATGAATTTTTATGGATACCCCCAAACAGTTGTCTACAAGGATTCTTACCCACTAAAAGCTATGATGGGATAACCCTACCAAACCATACTGCTGACGATGATGACAATTTTTGACAATTCACCATGGTACACAATTTTGTGTGATTTGAAAGAATTTAGGTGTTTACTAATCTACCACTGACTCTGACGTTTTGTATGTCAGTGATTTTACCAGGAGAGATTGAAAAAAACATTGGTTTTATCGGAAATACCTACAATCCCAAAATAATTTCTAAAATTCCGGAATAATCCCCAATTGTAGTGATAATCTGATGTTGCAAAAATGCTTTACAGTAAAAGGTCAGTGAATATTTTAAATCTATTTCAGGACAAAATCTACAAAGACAAAATGTAATTGGAGGAACAATGGATTATCTTAGCGGTGACTGTTAAAGACCAGCTGATAAAGTTCAGAATTTTAGAGCATAATCAATAATATTGATAACTGTCGACCAATCGATCCTTCACTACTATCACCATTGTTTATTGGATACCTTAGTCAAAGCTATCACCCACAATTATACTGTGGGGACAAATATGTACAAAAATTGTGCATACCTGAGGTGTGATTCTGACGTCAAGTACGATGTGTGTGCGTAGAACATAAAACCCGAGCGGAAACGGAGGTTTAGCAGCCATATCACTAATCTGATGACATAGGGTGGCTGAGCCCAACCAGTAGGTGTTACCCCAGAGAAAACTGCCTCCATATCTTCCACTCGCATCACTCACTGCAACAGAGAACAACAATTGTTTGACTAGAATAACTAGGACAGGTGTGATAAAGTTACGGTAAAACTGTAATCACAACACAAAGCAGAATACAGTGACTATAGATAGAACCATTGACTATTGGATAGGCTACAGAAGTTGTATTGATAGTCAAAGATAGAACTAAATATTATATTTCCCGATTCAATTTTGTAGCTTGAATAAAAATAAACGGTATCAGCAATCTGACACATTCTTTCTTTCTCCCACAAGCTTGTCAACAACCTTTATCATAAGTGCAACTAAGATATTTTAAAGGTAAAATTTAAAAAGTTGCGATAATTTTTGAACAGTAATTTTTACAGCAATGGGGGGTTGCACAATTTTCTTCACAACTATAAGGACAATAATACTGTATAAAAATTGTAATCAAAACCTGCTTTTTCAAAAATCTGATTTTCCGTTATTTTATGGTTTTTTTATTGGGAAAATAACATTAGTTACAATAACTTTTAGACCATAATTTTTACAACAATGGGAGTTAAATTTTTCGTTCAAAAATTAAAGGACTATAACATACTTAAGTTTTATCAAAATCAATCAGGCCATTTTCGAGAAAATACGATTTTCCCAGTATTTTATAGGTTAGGGGGCCTATAATGGAAAAATCACCATTAAAAATCAAAATTGTAAAAATGGCTAGAGATATTCCATGGGGGCTCAAAACGGATATATCCACTTAAACTCGAAAATTTTTACGAAAACAATACTTTCTCCAAATATATGGGGTAAAAGTAAAAATAAACTTAGCTCAATTGAGCCACTAAAGAGTGCACCGTTGTAAATTACTGATTCTAACTTTACTAAAACGCCAACTAACTTTTAAGTAAGCCAAAAGGCTACGAGGACAAATTATTGTATAAAATAAATGTATAAAAACATGTTACAGCCATCGATATACATCGATGGTTTCAATAAAACTAGAGATCTAATCAACCTGACGCCTCCAATCCGCGAATAGGCAAGTTTGATGCAGTAGCTAGATTGCCAGCAACTCCAAGCAGGCGTTGCCGCTTTGCTTAGAGACACACTATTTTGGATGTCCCTCCTTTTCGGAACCCAACCAAAACGTTTCAATGTTGTTTTTACAATAAGTATTGTAACGTTAATGTTCAAAGAGATACTCACTCATTCAATTTTCAAATCATTCAGTAGGGTTTGTAAAAAGCTGAGGAATTGATTTTTTCACTCTAGAATAAATCAATATTTTGCTGTTTTACTGATTTCGATTTTCCGTTAATATATCGGATACCAACGAATCACTAAACTCCGTTAACGTAGCTTATTATTTTTTTTGTCAATTAACTTTTAAATTGTCACTTTGAATAATACCTTGTATAATATTGTTTTATTGCAACAAAACTGTCCATTAATAATCTTTGATATCTATAAATTTGAAAAGTATTACATTATAGTCCAGTGTAACGCTTTGTGCTTATCAGTCAGGCATTATATCAGCCGTTTGACCTATCTAATCACTGAAATCACCACTAACTTCTGACTCATTCCTCAACTTAACGATTTTACACTGTCTTTAAACCCGACCATAGACAAAAATGACACGCGACGCACAGAAAAGTAGTTTAAGGTGTACTAATTATTTGCAAACCCCAATTAGTGTACGTTAAATATTAAGCTGTAAAAGGAAACTCAAAACGTATATTAGTTGATTGATTGAGGAATAAAGATTTAATTTACACCGTATTGCTGTGTAAAACTATTTTGTATAATTTTTTGCTGGCCGTCCCCGAAGAATATTAGCCCTAAAGCTCATTGTAATCAGTTTGATTATTACGAACTCTAACTGTATTTTTACAAGTGTACCCAATACATTGGCCTATTCAGGAAGTGATATACGCGGTGCTGGTACCTAATGTTAACACCTTGCCAGCCGCGTTGGTCTAAACGATGTTTACCTATTAGCAACTCCAGAATTTGCACCTCTGTGAATTTAGCGTGTTTTGCATGTTCAAACGTGCTAGACTGCAGTTACATGAATATTACATAGAACCGTTAGTGTTAACAAAACCAATCACATATCTTTAGCTGAGTAGGTATGCAGGTTTTGTGATAGGTACTTACGAGATTGGATTGACTCTAAATCATTCTCGTAATATCTCTAATCAGTAACTTCCTACCCATCAACTGATAATAGCATACGTCATTATGTATCCTTAAGTGTAGTTGTAATAGTAAATTGGTAGTTTTCTAATATCCGCTAACTTGGACGCCGAAAGTCTCTCCTTATCCATACCTGTGTCATCAAGAAGGTGGCGTCTAAATAAAAACTATAAATTTATTTAGAAGTAAATTTAGAAGCTCCTTGTCTTCTCAAACTTTCGACACATTACTGTCCCGACTGTACCATTAACTGGGAACACTTGACTTCTCCAGAATAACGGAATTTGGTTGCTATTTGAACCTAAAAGGCTTTAGGATTATAAATACCCCCGTCGCAGCAAACCTGCATACTAAGCGAATTTCCATTTACCCGGCTTGATTTCTACTAAAATATTCCCTATACATTTTCAGATTTATTTCCTATTTAAATAACATTAATTTTAGTGAGTAGTTAGGTTTGCTGCTACGGGGAAGATGTTGAGGTGTGTTTTTTTCAATTGAAATATTGATAGCTTAGTATGAAATAAGCCAAATTGCCAAATTTAATTAAAATATATCCATAAACAAGCAAACTAGAACAGTTTATTTATTCTCCATAAGAATAACATGAGAATTTTAAATTTACAATTTTTTTTATTTTTCTCCGTAGTCAATGAACATTCAAAAAAACTTCAATATACTAAATTATTTGTTTTTTTAAGCTCTTCAAAATGGTCTAGAGAGAAATTTAGAAATTTAAAGTTTTTAGGGTCAAAAATGAGAAAAACCCATTTTTACCCCATAAAACCCCCCATAAACCCCTGATCCCATGGTCCGATTAAGCTGGTTCGCGAACTCGTTGGAATAAATGTAGGTTTACACGTTTGTACCAAATTTCATCAAAATCGGATCAATTTTGGTTGAGTTATCGCGCTAACGGACACATATATAAATATATATATATATGTGTGAATTTGAACGGATGGTATTTTTGGCCTCTGGGGACCTCAAAACAAAAAAGTAAATCAGTCCCGGGTCTAGGTCTTACCATGAGACCTACGGTAATAGCTTATTCCCTATATGGGAAATTCGCTAAAAACATGTTAATGTTATATTTTTTGTTTATGTTAGTAGCCCTAACCAAAGTGCTGAACTTTATCATGAGAAATGCACTGTAACTGTTACACATAGGTTATATTCAGTGAAACCTCATGAATTATCCGATGATCATATAGCTTGGATCTGGTTCGAAACGGCAGTACCTTGTGATTAGAGTAAAGTTACTTGATGCATGGATATCAACATCAACATGTTAAGTCATTTATTTGATTATGTTCGTTTGTTAGGAGGGGATGTTGATATCCCCACGTTATACTTAAGCCCTATCAATAAACCCTGCAAAACAACATGGATTTTCCGTTAACTGAATCCTATTATCCGTTTATCCTTTAACTGCCAATCAATGGGCGAACTCTGTAGTGGCAAGGCATTTTAGCGAGTTTGCAGTCATATTTTCGAAAATTCATATAAACTAAACCAATAGAGCAAACCTATTGAGCCGAGTACTTGAATTGTTCGCAATGAAATGAAGAATTTGAAAATGGCAACAGCATAAATATTTAGAACAGTACCTATGGCATTAGGCAAAGAAAATATAAACATTAGTTTTTAAATTTTGAAAGTAAAACTTTGCTGCATGAACCAAAAATTCTTTATTTGAAATTCAAGATATACAAAATGTTTGAAATTTATTTCCCTACAGGGAAATGTAAAAATATTTCAATTACTATTTTGTTTTAGAACGCTATGACCTAAAAACCAAGAAATGGCAAATTCCACGATTGGCATAGAAAGATATTTTCCTGTAGATGTGCAGAATCCCTTTATAAATTAAATTGTCTCCAAAATAAGAAAAAAAATTAATTTAAAATTAAAAAATAACATGAGCCTTATAATTAGAACTAGAGGTCCAGTGGTCGAAACTCGACCAAAAATATGTAATGTGCAGACATCTCTATTTTCACCCCACGCTGTAAATAAAACATGTGTCAGGAATTTCTTCCATTTGTTTTGGTTTTCTGTTTATATTTCGTTGTTATTTCGTAACCAGCATGGCAACCCATAAGAACCATGCTAATTTTTTTATTATTTTAAATCCATTTTTTTGTGCCTGTGTTTTGTGCCTATTCTAATTTATAAAGGTATTCTGCACATCTGCAGGAAAATACCCTTCTAACAGTATGCATAGATTTTCCCTGCGATGCACACGAGCTGAGAAAAAAGGTTTTAAAGAAACATGCTTGCCTATTAATATATAGATAGATGGGTGACGAAATAACAACGATATATAAACAGAAAATCAAAACCAATGGAAGAAGAATTCCAATCACATGTTTTATTTACAGCGTGGGGTGAAATAGAGAAGTCTGTACATTACATATTTTGGTCGAGTTTTCGACCACTGGACGACCTCTAGCACGGCGGCCGTTCCTCTAGTTATAATAAACTCATTGACATTAACACATGAAATTTAAGTTTATTTTACTCCAGTAAAAACCAATGCGAGTGAAGAAATAGGTTTTCTTAACTGAAGGTAGGGGACTCAAAGAAACGATTAAAACTAACCTAGAAGGTTTTGTTGCAATGTTTACGTTCATATGCCGTAGGGAAATAAATTTAAAATGTTCGCTGACACTGGTTAAAAGCCTTTCTTGGTAGTTCCTTTTGACTTCTCTTATTTGCCAACGATATGGGATACCTCGAGCTGTTATGTATAGGCCTATATAAATAAGTATAGTATCCAGTAGACAGGTTGTTAATAGTCAGTAACCGGTTCACGGTTCACATACTGTACATTCCA